AGAGAGAGAGAGAGAGAGAGAGAGAGAGAGGAGAGAGAGAGAAGGAGAGAGAGAGAGAGAGAGAGAGAGAGAGAGAGAGAGAGAAGAGAGAGAGAGAGAGAGAGAGAGAGAGAGAGATATATATATATATATATACAATATATATATATATATATATGTATATATATATATATAGTGCACTGTGTGTGTGTGTGTTGTGTGTGTGTGTGTGTGTGTGTGGTGTGTGTGTGTGTGGGTGTGTGTGTGTGTGTGTGTGGTGTGTGTGTGTGTGTGTGTGTGTGTGTGTGTGTGTGTGTGTGTGTGTGTGTGTGTTTGCGTGTTGCGTGTGTGTGTGTGTTATCTGAACAGGTCTGATGACAGTTTTTGAACCTGCTCGACGTTCGTTTAAAATGGCACCAAGGCTCATGATACAACGAAAAAATTGTGATATACCACGGCCTTGTATTAGCTATACATTGAACGTTTTATCCTTCATTGGACTATTTTTTCCGCGATGGTTTCAGAAAAATTCGATATCATCGCATGTTTGTAAAACGGAAGCTTACTCGCAGCTATTCTAACATGGGTCTTATGTCTACATACAGCAGTATTTTGTAATGTCGGTATAGTGCTAACACGGTACATGTCCATCACGATACAGGCATAAGCTTTTACCATTGCATATACTCACCATTGACAGGTAGCAACGTTCATCCAAGACACGCGAACACTCAATGCCCCTGCACTCTCCATCCTAATGGTCGTCCTCCGATAGATCGAAGGTTTCCATCCGCTGTTTTCTGTTCGCGAGAGTCCCATCGTGGATGCATATCGCTTGTAAAGCGACAAGTCTTCGGCCGCGTGTGATGAGTGTGATGATTTTTGTTTTGATGGGCGTTTGGCGTGTCAGGTAGGTTTTATGTTGGGTCTCCGTGTGGGTGTGCGTGGGTCGCCGCCTGCAGGTGGATGGAGAGACATCTGGAAAGCGTCGTTGTATTGAGTCCAATATATGCAGAATCAGACAGGACACAGATCCCTTTGTTACAGTCACAGTGATATATGATGCTGTTTTCTTTGAGTGGAGCCGAATCATGTGAAGGGTTATTTTGGATGATGAAGGAGGATGTAGTTGGACTCTGGTAACAGACGTTAAGTTTGGAAATGTCATTGAGATCCTTCGTTTACGATTGTGATGGACATTTTTTTGCAGAGCTTTTTCGTCAGCTTTGTAACCTGGGGACATCATGTTTTAACAGAACACGTGGTACCTATTCTGATGTTCTGTTATTGGCTTCGCTTTTAGGTACCACGACATGGTCCGGTTAATCTGGTCTTCCACAGCATGCAGGTCGTTATCGTCGTTGGCTAGCATTTACTTGACCCGCCTAAGCTCCTGGTGTAAAGGGGGCGATGACTGGCAAAGATCAAGAGCACGGTAGATGTAAGCCCCGATAACACTAGTTTTGTACCTGTCGGGACACGTGCTCTCTTCGTTCAGGCATTTGCTGGCGTCAATGGGTTCTCGGTGAACGCTGATTGCAAAGGTTTTGTCTGAAACATGGGCTGATGCGTCCAAAAAAATCTTATTCTTTTCCAGGGCTCTCCTCGATGGTACAGTGCGGGCCTGCTACGAGTTCCAGTTTGGCTTTCAACGCGCTCAGGGCGGTACGATCTTTGATGTGCACTTAAATGTCAACACATTACACACGCATATCGGTTTTAATGACATTATCGGCAAAAACTTCTTGCTCAACCGAAAACATAAAGGCATGGGCAAACAATACTCTCGGTGTTGAGCCCATTGCAGTGTTATCTGTTTGGTAAAACATCTTCTCTTTAGGGCATCGGAACGGTGCCTTAGTGTTGCACAACCTCGACATTGTACGCATGCTGTGTTCAGGAATGTCTGATGTGTGCAAAGTTTCATGATGGCAAGCGTATCGGGCTGTTATGTCAATAGTCCGTTTGACAGAGATATTTGTGAACGGACTACTCACATCCAGGCAGGCTAGCATGTCTAGTCTTGTTCTTGTCTTTAGCAAATCGACGAACTCGGAAGTTGAGTTTGGAGTACGTGAATGAAAAATAAAGCATAAGCATCGTGGTGAGCCTTTTAGCAAGGCCATAGGCTGGTATAGGGATTTGTGATATCATAAGTCTCAATGAAAAATCCAGCAAGAGCATCTAGGCATGCCAGCATTCCTAGATGTCAGTAGTCTGTTTACAAATGCCCCCGCCAGTGTCAATGCGTCAGTAGTCTGTTTACCAATGCCCCCGCCAGTGCCAATGCGTCAGTAGTCTGTTTACAAATGTCCCCGTCAGTGTCAATGCGTCAGTAGTCTGTTTACCAAGGCACCCTGCCGATGCCCTAAAGGGAAGCTGTTTTACGAAACAGACAGCATTGCAATGGGCTCAACACTGAGAGAATTGTTTGTCCATGCCTTTTCGGTTGAGTTGTTTTTTTTCGGTCGAGCAAGAAGTTGTCGCCGATGAAATCATTAAACCTCATATATACGTGCAATGTTTTGATGACAGTTAAGTGCACATCAAAGATCGTACCGCTCTGAACGCACTGAAAGCCAGACTAGAACTCGTAGCAGGCCTGCATTACACCATCAAGGAAAGCCTTGGAAAAGAATAATTTTTTTGGACGCATCAATCCACGCTTCGTACAGTACCGTTGCAATCAGCGTGCACCGAAAGCCTGTTGACGCCGGCAAATGCCTGAACAGAGAGAGCGAGTGCCCCGTGTTATCGGGGCTTACATCCACGGTGCCCTTGAACTTTGCCAGTCATAGCCCCCTGCACACCAGGAGCTCAGCCTAGTCAAGTAAATGTTAGACAACGACGATAGCGACCTTCGTACTGTGGAAGAGCAGACTATCCGGACCATGTCGCGGTACATAAAAGCAAAGCCAAAAACAGAATATCAGAATACTTACCAGCCGTTCTTTAAAAACATGATGGCCCCTGGTTACAAAGCTGACGAAAAAGTTCTGCAAAACTCTCCATCACAAGGGTTAAAGAACCATCTCAATGATATTTTGAAACATAACTTCTGTTAACAAGAGTCCAACTACATCCTCCTTGATCATGCAAAATAACCCTCCACATGATTCGGATCCACTGAAAGAAAACGTCACATAACACTATCAATGCAACATACAAGACTGCATGCTCTTGTGCTCCACAAAACCCACCTGAAACGCCAAATGCTCAACAACACAAACATCATCGCATGGCTGGCACAGGGCCGCAGATTCGTCGCTTTAGAAGCGATATGCATTCGCCAATGAGACCCTTCATGAAAACAACAAATGCGCAGAGAACCCCCATCTGCACAGAGGGCCACCATTAGGATGGAGAGCGCAGAGACATTGAGTGTTCGCGTGTATTGGATGAACGTTGCTGCCTGTCAGTGATGAGCTTATGCAATGCATAAATGCTTACGTACGTAATATATATACATAAACATACATGCAAGCAACATGTTTACACTACACCGGTTTTACAAGTTAAAACCGATGCATGTATACATGAGATCCATGTTACAATAGTCACGAGTAAACTTGCATTTTACACACATGCGATGATACCAACGTTACTAAGCCGCCACAACAGAAAGATGTCCAATGGGGTATGAAACCTTGAGAATATAGCTTTTACTAGGCCATGTAATATGACAATCTGAGTCTTCTTTGTGTCATTAGCTTTGGTGCCATTTGAAACGTACATCGAGAGGGAGCGAAATCTTTTATGAGATTTCTCGAGAAACATCAAAAAGATCATGATTGCTGAGTACGCTGTGATTTTTAACAATACACACCATAGCTATGTACATATATATATATATATATATATATATATATATATATATATATACATATATTGTGTTGCATACTATACTGTATTCTCAAGACATGTGTTGCACTTCAAGCTGCGGTTGCAATCACAGTATATGTACAAAAGTTTGCTTTTATCATATTCCCACAACATCGGGCATCTGAAAAATGACATTTTCATGTTGCATGTTCGAATTCCAGACATGCTTGTACTAATTGAGTTAAAGGGTTGCTAGTCCGGTAGGTCCGCATTACAGGGGAGATGTATGTCCTTGCAATTGTATGTCATAAACAATAGTTGTACGAGTTTTTTTGCATGTGGATGATGAGTAGCCTATCATGTATATATATATATATATATATATATATATATATATATATATAATCCTCACTCCGAGACACCAATAACCCAACAGACCACGTGCCGTCATTTCTCCATTCCTGCCACTGGAGTAGACAGTTCGAAGCTCTGAAGAACTAGAAGACATGCGTCATAAAAAATGCCCACTGGTTCCTTGGCATCAATAGATGTCGAAGGTTTATTCACGAATACCCTCGTAGAAAACAAACCATGGACATAATTCTTCAATATGTTTGTCGTCATGAAGCTCTGGCCGCACCCAAGTTACCTTGAGCGGTCATTGAGGGAATGCATATCAAAGGTCCCGTTCAGACACCCTGAAGGCAACCTTTACTTACAGTTAGATGGGAGGGGGGGGGGGGGACCGCTGGGATCTCGGCTCGCTCCAGCATGTATGTGTCATGTAGAAAAACAGGTGCTTGATTTTCCGGACATCAGGCTTGCGATGTATTTCCGCTATGTTGATGACATTTTTACAGAAGTCGGCAGCAATGCTAAGGTTCAATGTCTCGCAAGGATCTTAAAAGAATTCGTCAGGCTTGAGTTTCACTGTTGAAATTAATGTAAACATCAAACAGCCATTTGTGGACCTTCTGATTGACGCATTACAAAGTGTTTTTCAGACAGATGTCTACAGAAAAGCCACCAACCAAAATAAATTTTTGAATGTTAATGGGGACTATCCAGATACATAAAAAGGGAATCATTCGGGCATATTTCCGCAGGGCTTTAACAAAATCTGTTGTGATTTTAATGTCGTGAAGCGTCATGGAATGCTTTTGATAGGAAACTAGACACTTTCATGAATGCAGACAAACAAAATAATGCCTTTCGCGATCGTCATGAAACACTGAAACTTTTTTACAATAATACTACTATCCCATCTTGAAAAACTGGTGAGAAAGTATCCTGTGGCATTGTCCCCGGGCACTGTGCCCCGATGATCACCGAAAAACTAAGACTGATTATATACTACAATAGTAAACAAACAATACCATGGTGATCAACAGCAGCCTCAACCAAAACAGAGTCAATTTGGGAGAGACCAATGTAGTTTACCGTTTCCAATGTAGCGCCGGTGGCTGTGAAACCTGCAAAGTGAACTAAGTCAGCCTGACTATAACAAGTCTCAGCCGACGTTTAACCATGGTCACTTGCGGGATGGGGACGGCAAACACATGCAGGTACACGCCACAACGCCCCACTCGCGAGAAAACGGTTGTCAAGAACACTGCCGTGCTTGCGCATGCCACAGACCACTGATAGAACATACCACAGACCACTGGTAGGACATACCACAGACCACTGATAGGACATACCGCAGACCACTGATAAAGCATACCACAGACCACTGATAGGACATACCACAGACCACTTATAGAACACACCACATACCACTGATAGGACATACCGCAGACCACTGATAAAGCATACCACAGACCACTGATAGGACATACCACAGACCACTGATAGAACATACCACAGGCCACTGATAGGACATGCCGCACACCACTGATAAAGCATACAACAGACCACTGATAGGACATACCACAGACCGCTGATAGAACATACCACAGACCACTGATAGGACATACCGCAGACCACTGATAGAACATACCACAGACCAGTGGTAGAACATAGCGCAGACCACTGATAGAGTATACCACAGACCACTAGTAGGACATACCCTTCCCCCCATACTGCAAACATACCGGACTGTCAACTTTTCAACGTATTTATGAAGTGTGTCTGGAATTTGAATATGCAGCGTGCAGTTGTTTTTCAATTGTCTCGACCATGTCTTTTTTTTAAAATACGATGCAACCGAACTTTTGTATTTGTACTGTGATTGTGACTGCATGTTCAAGTGTACTTTTTGTGTTGAAGATGATCATGGAATTCATAGAAAAGTTGAAAAAGAACATGAACTTAAGTAACATATCCTATCGACACTACAAAAACGACGAGCGCGCAATACGAAGCCTCGGACAAACGACCAAGAAGGTCATGAGCGCTGAATACGTTTGGCTGTACAACCAACAAGATATAATTAAAAACCGCAACCGAAATAATCTAAAATCTACATATATATATATATATATATATATATATATATATATATATATATATATATATATATATATATATATGATGTAACCATGACGATCAGACCCCTTTGTAAAGGGCTTTGGTTGGCAGAAATTTCGCCGACATTGCCCGTCCTAATTTTTGCTTCAGCTGATCCACCGCAGCCTCCGATTTCTTCTCAGTTTGTTTTTCGGGTCGATTGAGGCTACTTTATTCCATTCTTCACGTGAAGGACCACAGAAATATATCAAACTGGCTGCAAAGTATGCCAGGAATCGTCGAAAACAGCTGGAAGTCCGGGGGAGGGCGAATTATCTTTTTAGATGAAAAGCTATTCGGCGGCATCCTGAGACGTTATCCCGGCCGTTTAGCATGTTAAAGGCGGCCCTAATAACAATTAAACCCTCAAGGCCAATACATATGAACTAGTAAACGTAATACACGGCATTCAGTGACAAAAAAAATCCAGAGCAAAACAGCAGCCCACAAATTCCGGAATGATGGGCATATTTTGAATCACCGAATGGTCACCTTTGGCATAGCGCGTTTCACGTTGGTCGCGTATTCTGATCTCCAGCCGCTTTCAACAGGCCTGACTGGTGACCAGCGCGCCATTCGGAGCCCAGCGGTGGCGGCAATGGCGCTGGCACATCCCCGTAGCAACTTGTCGATCAATTCCTGCTTGTTTCCAGGTGAAAACTGGTCAGACTACTTCTCCATTGACTCTGACACCGCCGTATTTCGGCTTTCGAAGGTCATTCCACCTGAGGTGCCTACGCCGGATCAGATCACACTGATGGTTCAGGTGAGCGCCGAAAGATGTCTCTGTGCGCTCTACTGCGGCGGCGGCCACCGGCATGGCTTCAGGTGGCGCATTGATGTATTGCATGCAAAGTCATTTGGCGCCAGTCGGTGGCAGGGGTGGAACTTTGCATCTCTTGGGGGGGGGGGGCATGGTCCCCTCAATGTTGAGCTGGGCCCCCAAAATGTTGACATGTTCCCAAATGTTGTGTTGGACCCCCCTTATCATTTGGCTGGGTCATCGCTGTATTTTGCCCGGCCTTCACAATGTGAGACGTGACTCCCGATACCATGTCAGTTCTTTGAAGCGACGATGATTGAAGAATTGGGAGGTAGTCACAATTTAGTATGAAAAAAGACACATATAACACGACACCCAAATGGCTCACGCAAAACGAAACCCACAAAAAGTTACAGCTTGTAAGTCGCTTAATTTACAGCGAGTGTTTGTGCGTCATTGGGGCTTAGCCACCTTAGCTTCTGTGCCAATATGGTGACGCCTGCCTCTCATCCGGGCAGAAACGGCAGGCATCCCTGTAAACCGAAACTCACACTGAATGGTTAAGCGCAAAAATAACCTATACATGTTGTCTAACTCGTAATACTACTCGAGCGACATATCATAACGCAAATATTGAAATGTCGGTGGTGTTAGCAGAAGCGGCAAGGCTATGAAAATTTGCAGACTTTTGACGCGATGCTTTCTTGAAGGAACACATGCCGGCAGCTCCCTGGAATATCAGTAGCATGCGTTGTGCCGCTAGCGCGGAAATAAAAAAGTGTGTTGCACAATTTGAGCGTCTTCAGGGAGTACACAAATTTCATTCATGCCTCAGATCCTGTCAGATCCCCAGGTCCTCTGTCCTGGCCATCTGACACAGGGTTGTCGCAGGGACACATAGCTGACGCAAAGGATCCCTCACCGGCACAGAGAGTCTAATGCCTAATTGTCGCCGAGACGCCAATACAGCTTATTGATCCCTGCGTACTAATTGAAACGGTGTGGAGGGCCCATCGTTCGGTCTTGCGACCTCTGACTAGCACAGGTCTGAGAGCCCCGCCTCATTGTGAGTGCAGACCGTCGCATCAGCTTGTTTCATGTCTCTTGTCATTGCCAAGAGGGTCCTGGCCAACGCAAGAGGCCGTCTGACATTCGAGCCCCTGCTCCCGTCCATGTTAAGCAACTGTACCCATCACCGACGTTGAGCTCATTGCCGACAGGGGGATTGCGTTGGGCACTATCAGCTTCCGATCAGTGCAGGGGCGAAAACTAATGCACACGCTTTCGGACCAACATTCGCAGGCCCGACCCTATCCCGACTTGGGAAAGAGGACCCAGGGCCAGGGCTGGGGCGGGGGAAGGAGGTCTCGGGGCCAGGACTGGGGCGGGACGGAGTGTTCGGTATTGCCTACTGGCAGATGTCCCCTCATCCCCGGCCTGCCCTTTGGGCCCTTCGATCGGACCCTTGACTGTCGCCCCCTCGGGACCCAGAGAGCTGCCCCTCGGGACCCAGAGAGCTGCTCCTCGGGACCCAGAGAGCTGCTCCTCGGGACCCAGAGAGCTGCCCCTCGGGACCCAGAGAGCTGCTCCTCGGGACCCAGAGAGCTGCCCCTCGGGACCCAGAGAGCTGCTCCTCGGGACCCAGAGAGCTGCTCCTCGGGACCCAGAGAGCTGCTCCTCGGGACCCAGAGAGCTGCTCCTCGGGACCCAGAGAGCTGCTCCTCGGGACCCAGAGAGCTGCCCCTCGGGACCCAGAGAGCTGCTCCTCGGGACCCAGAGAGCTGCTCCTCGGGACCTGAGGTCTGAGGAAGGTCACATGGCTCTGACCTACCGATAGTGGCGCCCCTGGTGTCTCGTAAAACTGATAACCTGGGGACACTGTTGTGCCCGTTTTATTTTGACGCCACTTGAAATTAAAAGGTTTGGAGGCCCTCGGGGTGTCTCTCTAGAAGTGGTCACCTGTTCAAAATGTATTGTTGAAATGTCGCGTCTTGATGCACGAATTGAAGACAGGGATATTTCTTCGACGAAATGTCTAGCCTGGGATTTCGCCAGAACGGCAGGCATGTAAGGTGTGCAGTCCCTGATTTTGATGCCGTTTGAAAATAAATTTGGAGGGTCCTTGAAATGACCCGTTTGAATTGGGTAACGTAACAAGGAAGGGAATGGTGCCCCAAAATGAGAGATTTTGCGACTCATCATCGAATGGGTCGATCTGGGATTTCCCCTAATGAAGGGTGCGAGCATTGTGGTGCCCTGAACTTTGTTGTCTCTTGAATACAAGCGTTTTGGGAACCATTGTGGCGCCCGCCCCCCCCCCCCCCCGGAATTAAATGTCTGCTTGAATAATATTTATGATTATCCGCAGCCAAGATTTTGTGGCGCCTCTTTGTGGAACGGGTCGATCCAGAACTTTGTCAGCATAAATAGCAAATAAATATGTGTCCCTTAAAACAAAGGTCTCAGGACCTTTCCAATGGCCCGCTTGGACTTGATGCCTATAGCAAATAAATGTTGCTCTGATGCGAAATAAAGGTTTTGGTGTCCCTTTGCCGAAAGGGCCGATCATTGACTTCGTTTATGGACTGCCACAGGTATTGCAATTTGTCCCCAAATTTGCTGTCTATTAAAAGTAAGTGTTTTGGGATGCTTCGAGGTGTTTGAGGACATCTTACTGTTACGGGTCCTGTAGTGCTAAATGCAAAGGTGCTTACATTGGAAACCAGGATTCGAACCCTAACTTTGTCATGCAACTGTACGCATTAAGCATTATCCGGGCTCACATTCCCATCAGAAAACACACGTCATGCGTATAAGTCAGTTCTGCATGACACTGAGCCGTCCGGACTATTTTCTAATGCATCCTTTTAGTTGGACAGTGCATGCAAGCAATTAATGCAATCAAATGTAAAATCTGAATTAGAATCCGACTGTTAACCACAACATTCCGACATCAAAATGTCGGGAGTCTTCATCTCAAACTCGGATGCGGTACTTTCGCAGGCGAAGGAGACCAACGGTCCATACGACTGCAGCACCGTACTGCTCGTCCAGCTCGTCCCTACGAAAGGTGACCCACGCTGCACTCAACTTAGAAAATACGTACTCCGCAACAGACCAGATGCCGCGCAAAATAACTCTCTAGCACTCATTCCAATCAACCTGCGACTAGGCAGTTCGAGGTGGACTCATTTCAGCACGATAGATCACCCACGCTGGAGTTACTTTTACCTTGGGCCACCCATGTATGATTCATTTTAACTTTACGTCATTACTTAACCCAACTAGATTCATTCCAATCCTAGTAATCAATCAACTCTGGAGTCACTCCAAGTCGCTGTCAGAAGACCAGACGAAACTTATTCCCAGATGCATGATAACACCAGGGTCTGAGACCGGACGCGACACAATCCCACCTCCATGGACGCAACACAGTCCTAGGTCCCCAAACGCAACACAGTCCCAGGTCCCTGGACGCAGCACAGTCCCGGGTCCCTGGACGCAGCACAGTCCTAGGTCCCTGGACGCAGCACAGCCCTAGGTTTCCAAACGCAACACAGTCCCACATCCCCCGACGCAACATAGTCTCGGGTCCATGGACGCAGCACAGTCTTAGGTCCCTGACGCAGCACAGTCCCAGGTCCCTGGACGCAGCACAGTCCCAGGTCCCTGGACGCAGCACAGTCCCAGGTCCCTGGACGCAGCACAGTCCCGGGTCCCTGGACGCAATACAGCCCTAGGTTTCCAAACGCAACACAGTCCCAGATCCCTCGACGCAACATAGTCTCGGGTCCCTGGACACAGCACAGTCCTAGGTCCCTCACGCAACACAGCCCTAGGTCCCCAAACGCAACACAGTTCCGAGTCCCTGGACGCAGCACAGTCCTGGGTCCCTGGACGCAGCACAGTCCCGGGTCCCTGGACGCAATACAGCCCTAGGTTTCCAAACGCAACACAGTCCCAGATCCCTCGACGCAACATAGTCCCGGGTCCCTGGACACAGCACAGTCCTAGGTCCCTCACGCAACACAGCCCTAGGTCCCCAAACGCAACACAGTTCCGAGTCCCTGGACGCAGCACAGTCCTGGGTCCCTGGACGCAGCACTGTCCTAGGTCCCTGGACGCAGCACAGCCCTAGGTTTCCAAACGCAACACAGTCCCACATCCCCCGACGCAACATAGTCTCGGGTCCATGGACGCAGCACAGTCTTAGGTCCCTGACGCAACACAGCCCTAGGTCCCCAAACGCAACACAGTTCCGAGTCCCTGGACGCAGCACAGTCCTGGGTCCCTGGACGCAGCACTGTCCTAGGTCCCTGGACGCAGCACAGCCCTAGGTTTCCAAACGCAACACAGTCCCACATCCCCCGACGCAACATAGTCTCGGGTCCATGGACGCAGCACAGTCTTAGGTCCCTGACGCAAACACAGCCCTAGGTCCCCAAACGCAACACAGTTCCGAGTCCCTGGACGCAGCACAGTCCTGGGTCCCTGGACGCAGCACTGTCCTAGGTCCCTGGACGCAGCACAGCCCTAGGTTTCCAAACGCAACACAGTCCCACATCCCCCGACGCAACATAGTCTCGGGTCCATGGACGCAGCACAGTCTTAGGTCCCTGATGCAACACAGCCCTAGGTCCCCAAACGCAACACAGTTCCGAGTCCCTGGACGCAGCACAGTCCCGGGTCCCTGGACGCAACACAGTCCCGGGTCCCTGGACGCAACACAGTCCCGGGTCCCTGGGCGCAACACAATCCCAGGTCCCTAAACACAACACAGACCTTGGGTCAAGACCCGAGCAGACAACAGTTCGTGAAACACTTCCCAGGGTCCGAGTCGGAATCGATCTCGTCTGGCGGGAGTTTGATCGGGATTAGATTATTTGAGCAGGTCATGCATACCAGATACTAGACTTAATGTGCTAGACGTGTGATATGTGACATACTGAGCAGATATCTCGTGCAATTATATTCCGAAAAGGGTGTTTCGGATTGCAGTGGGTTGCGCAGACTTGCTCATGACTTCCTAAAATGGCATAGGTTTTAGCTAAAAAAGGGCGACTGAGGTAGTTAAAGAAATGAAAATAAGTACTTGAAGTGTCCAATAGAAGCCTGTTTGATTCATATCCGGGATCATACCCCGAAATAGAAGGGTTTCTGAATGTACCCGAGCGAACTCGTCTTGGTCCGAATGTTTTCAGGAAGACCTGAGCCCGAAAGCAACGTGGGCTACATCATAGGCCTGGCCGTGCTGGGCGCTCTTTTGCTGGTGACAGTGGCGGCGGCGGTCTTCATCATCCGCAGAAAAGACCGGAGATACCGGTCGTCGCATGCCCAGTAAGACAGTGACAGGTCTCGCGGGGGTGAGCAAGGTCATGTCAGCTTAGAGGAGGCCGTGCTGCTCCATTATCAACCTCGGTTATTATGTTCAGGGGACGTTAGGTCAGTTCAGATTGGGTCCGAACCAGCAGACCGAGTCACACAATGCCAGGCTAGCCGAGCCAGTTGATGTCACGTCATGTGTCAAAGGTCATGGCAGGTCATGTGCGACAGTCACGTTTTGCGAAGTGGGAACAGGTCAGATCAAACCCATCTCATCAGACTGGAACAGGTCAGATGGTATCTAATAAACATTACGCATAAGTCAGCACTGTGCTATTTGGCCTTTGTGGAGGCAGTTCCAACAAATCTGTTATCACAGTTTTTAATCATTGCAGTGGAAGCAGCAAGAACTCGCTGCTTCCTGGCGGGAGCCAGTCGGCCGCAGAGCATGGCAGTGCGCCGCCGGTGGAGTCTGGCTACACCGAGCCGAGTTTCCACGTAGAAGAGGTGAGGCGATGGCGAAACACATGGTTGCCATGTCAACCGCCTGCTGTCTTGACTTACTTCGCCTGTTGCGGTAACGTGTCTCATCACACTAATGTAGTTGACTGAATTTTCCGTTCCAGCCGCTCGAACATCAAAGCTACTCACTAGTCGGTGGAAGCTACAGCCAGGCCGATCCTGTCAGTACCTTGCCACCACTCACGACGTCATACGATCCTCCAACCACTGAAGCACGTTCGTCACGTGGCCCAACGCTTCCGACAATCCCTGAACTGCATTCGCCACGCGCCCCGACGCCTCCGCCAATCACTAAAGTGCATTCGCCACGCGCCCCGACGCCTCCGCCAATCAGTGAGCAGACCCCTGAGCTTTACCCAATATTGCCGACAATCACAGAACCGGAAGAGACCGCAGCTACAACAATTCCACCAATCCGGGAGGAAGTCTCGCCCCCGGACGAGCCGAAGCCCGACTATTCGTTGAAGTCTGTGGGTTTCAAGGACACCGTGATATGCGTGACACCTGGCGAGGTAAAGGAACTGGACCTGAAGGAGGCCAAGGATGAAGACAACGACGGGGACGATGATAATTTGGAGGATCCGGACGATGCTGTTGTGAGCGATGACGAAGGAGATGAACGCCCCAAAGACGCTGAACATGATGATGACAACAGCGAACACAATGAGGAGACAGAGCCCACCTCAGAAAACCCAACAGCTGACGCCGAGAGCGTAGGTGCAACGCCAAAGGAAACTGCGGACGATGAAGAGTGTGACAGCGCGCTGTAATTTTGGGAATGAGCTGCATGAATGTCCCCAGCGTGCTCACTTCAGCGCATCGCAATGGGATTTGATGGTCATGCCGGCTCCGAAGCGGACTTACACGGCGTGGTGCAATAACTTCCAACGCTTTTTCTTTGAAGAGGTATTTTGCCAGATCGGATATTAGAACAAAACCAATTCTAAAGTTCGTTGATGCAATTTAAATATCGTGAACAACAAGGGCCAGTCGGCGTTTTTGTGGTCGGCCACTGTTGCGTTTTCTGTAAATCTAGGTCAACAAGAACAACTGACCGGACCGAACAACGAGACACGGCCACAGCTGAGCAGGCTACAGGACGTGAAGAATTAGCTCAGGCAAGGTGAACGGCGACAGAACACGCGCAAGATCATGGTCAGCCGCTCAGCCTCGCTTGTGCCCCATTAAGATCACCTCACGAGGGGTGGTTCAACGCGATGTGACGAGTATGCGCTTTGCGACTGACGGCTGGGTGGACGTGAATTATGGACTAAATTGTTGTGTTACGATGGCCAATAACCGATATGACCAACGTGGTCAATAAGTGATTATTGTCGGCCCACGGCATTGTCACTGCCTAGGCTGTGTCACTGTGATAGGCTCGGAGGCAAGTTTTAGGCGGCAATCTGGCGTGCACGGACTACACCAGCACCCTGTTTGTGAGGGGCTGGATCTGTGTTGGACGGCTGTGTAGGTTGTCGTGCAAAGCGCCTGCCGTAATAAAATTCCAACTGATTTGGTGCGTTGGTGTTGCAATGCGTTCACCAAGAAGATAGGCATCGAAAATAATCGTGCGATAGATATTGTCCCCACCGACTGTCGACTATGCTCAAACATTCATGACAAAAAATCATAAATTCAAGATTAATCTGGATCGTACAAGTTCCACGCCAAACAGGTGGACGGGGACTGAAGTTACGTTATCCCTCGCCCGGCTGAGGGGGAAGCTCACTTTCCCTAACGGTTTTCGAGCACATGTGGAAAAAACACTTGCAGCGACTCAAAATTTTTAGTCATAGTTATCTATCAATTTGGCACCCGTTGCTTATATTTCAGGTTTTGATCTACTAAGGTTAGTGATCCAGGTCAGGTCAAAAAGGTCATTCTCAAAAAACTTTGGTCATAAATAACTTTGTATGGGTCATTTGACTTCGTTCAAATTTGGTATAATAATGGAATATGATATTACCTACAGTTTTTACATTTCATATTTTCTGAAAATGCGAGCCCACTGACCTGAAGTCAAGTCAATTGTTGCTATCGCCGTAAAGAATGCAACTTTGTACGTTTTCTAGCGTAGTTTGGTGTCATGTATGTAGAAAAGAATACTTACTTACATGCACGATCATCATATGACAACAGAGCACACGACCTTGGTCCAGGTCATGACCTATTTATGTGGGCATTTTTATTATTTAATATTAATATTAATTTTGCAAAACACATGCTGCGCACAAAATAGGCAGTTTTAGGAGATTTTGGCCGCAGAATTCAAATGCTCCACTGTAAACGTGTTGAGATAAGTCATAGTGCATTTTAAAGACACAAAAGGATATACGAGGTCACATGAGATCATCTAAGGTCAATAACCTATGCTGTCAGTAGCGGAGAGGCTAGATGAACGAGTGCAACGTGTATCTCCTTGTGTTTGTGGGGGGTGATGACGCCTAATTTTATGTACCAAAGTTCCTGTTCTCAGTTTGTTACAAATACGCTGCCAAGCATCGAATGGACTGTAAATAATGTGGATAACAGCCAAGTAATCTTGAGTACCTGCAGATATCCAATGCACTATTTCTGACCACACAAAGTAATGTACTGGAAATGTAGATTCGGTTAGCACTTAACACTTGCCAGTTAGGTCTTTTATGAATTTGACATAAGTTGACCTCGGAGAGCCTCTAGGTCACCATAGAATGACATTTTTGTGTCTGGAATACTTTTTCCCACAGCTGCACCTAATCAAGTGAACTAAGTCAAAAGCACATTGTGAAGAAAAGCATCGTTCTTGTAGGCTACTGGTGGACCAATTTTGAACGGGAACCTATCTAGCCTGACCCATGTGGGAACCGGAAATAATGAGCTCCCCAAGGTCGTTACACTTATTCCCGGGCTTTCAATAACCATCCCTACATGTCAACACAGGTTTCAACTGCATCCTTCGGAAAACCCGTTTTTGGCCTTTCGTCTTATCTGATGGCCTCACATTTGACCTGGGGTAAAAAATTAGGGTGCATTCTTGATGATTTGGCGCGATATTCAAAACAGTATCTTTTGTTTTAGTATACAGCGTCTGGAAGCTGGAGATCCCAGGGGGAAGTCAGCTCCCCCCTCCCCCACCCCGGCCGGGCGCGGTTGTTTCAGACCCAGGCCGGGAGCGTAAAACGGCGGCGGTTGTCCAAACTATTTCTTGTGAAGTGAGAAATATATACGATCGATTGCGAACATGTAGAAACACCCCAAATACGAACGATTTCGGGCGCCTAGTTTTCGATTCGATTCATCTTTTCGATCTTACATTCACGCCAAGCATGAATTTTCAGTTAACTCTACTCTACTTGGGGAAGTTTTGACAACGGAAGAACAATTCGGTCTGTATGACAACTTGCACTGAGTCGGTTGTGTCATGCTGCTCTTCGCTGACCCATTTGTCACGAATCGGGTGTTCGGCTTGTCGAGAGCTGCTCACATTCCCTACAAGCCAGTTGGGAATCAGCGGCCGGCTAGAGGTCACTGGATGCCAATTAATGTTGCCTTGAAATGGGCCAGCAGAGCTATCACGTCGTCATATGTGCCATGTTGTCGCCACATGTGTCATGTTGCTCAGATCCCTCCGTCTGTGTAATGGTTTCCTGTGCGCCTGTAGTCAAGGTTCTGTTCACGGCTTACAGGACTGGGCCTGAACCTTAGAATGTATTTAGATTGTTGGACCATAGACCCATTTTAAATAAGATGTGGGGAAATCTAACAGCTTCTGTTGATTGATCTAGTCAGCAGTGGTTGGCTAGAATTGCTATCTTTATGCTGTAGCAATTCTACAAAATTTGGCTGTGAGACAAGTCTTTTGAAAAGGAAATACTATAAAGAGTACCTGCACTATCACAACGTGATCACTCGAACCGTTCCGACCATGGATATGACACTAAAATAGTCCAATTTCTGTTGTTTGGGAAGTGTCGAGTTTAAAAAGCAGTTTTGGAATAAGCATCGTTACCTTGTTGTAGGGAAAATGAAAGCACAGAACCGCTTGAAGTCAGTGTGGTCTAAATGTCTTCATGGGGGGTGTAATTCCGACGCTACGGATACGGAATGTGTCAATGTGCACACAGATTTAGAACATTCTTCTTACAGGAAGGGACACGGAAACAAGTTTTACAGCATGCAGGTGCGCAAATGGATGCCAGTATTGCAAAGTGATCTCGCTTTCTTAAATGTAAAATGTGCCATGGCGCCATAAAATGTGCTATTTTACATGTACAAAACACTAAAACTACCCAGGCCTGTAACAGAGACAGGCTATGTTTGAAAAGCCTTGTCATTTTTCACATGTATCTAACACCCAGAATGACTACCCGATCATATATCAGACAATAAGGCCTCAGGTAAGGCCCTGCCAGGGTTTGTTGAAAACATTTCGTTGCAAAAGAATTGCGAGCACGGTTTGAAATTTTGAGCGATCATTCCTGAGAAGGGCCTGGCTCCCGATCCCGGGCGGAACTTCTAGCTAAACAACACAAAAGAGAGCGATTCGTGGAGACGCATTTGGCCGGTAGCCACGGCTTCGAGCCGACTGAGCGAGTTCCTCACCAACCTCATCGTCCTCACCATCCCGGTGGTCGGACAGGGGCATGTTCAGCTCCTAACACCTGCACGCCTCCTGCAGCTGGTGAGCGTGGTCGCGGGGCGCGTGTTTCTGGTGCGTGAACGGCAGGTGACGTCATCCCATCCTCCTGGTGGTGCTATCAGTGCCACCTGATAGTGTCACATGGTGGCACTATCAGGTGGCCTCGACGAAAATGGCAGCTCAGTGGACCTCGGTGCGGACAGCATGGCGCTTTGCCTTCTCACTTATTATTTCAGTGTAAAACTGCAAAAATCGGAAAATTGGAAAGCATGTCCCTCCCCAATCAGCTGGTTTAGTAGGAAGCGTGTCTGGTAATATGCTGGGAAGTGTCATACACTCTGCATTAGCCTACTAGAACTAAACTAAACTATTGTTCCGACAAAAAGACATCAGCGCAACTGCCCCCGTCATGTGCCACAGTTTACCCCAGGGCAAGCTGCTTCATTACCATGGAGGTCACCCAGAAGTCATCTTCAAAAAGTACAAGAAAACGAACACGTACGCTCCAAGCTTTTGCCGCTACATACGAGGCTGAAGGTGATGGCTGTTTGCAGACATACATAGTCCTATCTTCACTAGTTAAAGCAAGAGTGGGCTCAGGGTGAGATCTGATGCAGTTTGCCCTGCGACTTGCGTGTTAACTTTTTTGTTATTGAGGATGCTTGCCAGCCTCACGTTTTATAATGCAAACAGGCACTACCCGCTCCTGTTTTGTGGATCACGTAGGTGCTAAGACTTACGTCCCACGGTTAATGTGCCTTTACTGCTGTGGACTTTAATGCACGTTGGCGAGCTGTGCGTCACAGCGAGTCAAAAGTGGAAAGTGGAAATGTGGAAAAGTGGAAAAACAGAAAAGCTGCCTGCAGATGGGACAATGAGTCCTCTTGATACTGCCATTTGTGGGGTTGGTGGCTCCATTGATAATGTCAGACCTGCAGCCTTTAATTGTCTGATGTATGTATGTATGGTCGGGCATTCACCCTGTACGTTTGTACCGATATATGTGAAAAATGACAGGGTTTTTTTTAAAATGGCCTGTCTCTGTTACAAATGTGGCTGCTTTTAGTGTTCTGTGCATCCTGACTACGGCACAATTTACAGTAAAAAACGTTCACTCTTTAAACAGCAACATAAGATCATCACTCCACACGTAAAACTGTTAGGCTCGACTGCAACAGCAGCATAAGATCATCACTCCACACGTTTAACTGCTAGGCTCGGCTGTCACAGCCAATGGTAGGCTTATGTACAACATTGGGGTAACGACGAATTTATTCCAAGGTCACTCATTTTGAGCGTGACTTTTACTTAGAACGCTTTGTGTGAGAACCAATGAGCTGAGAGCATACAAAAACAGGGGTCGCAGCCAGCTCCCCAAACCCAGATAGTGTCACTCCACTTAAGTAGACAATTTTGCCTCTCGCCTTTTCTCGGGTGTGACCGCGGAGGGGCATTTTTCTTACCAAACGTCGTCGAATCACGTCCGTCTTACACCGAACTGGCCGATGCTCCCCATCAAGCCCCCCCCCCCCCCCGCCGCCGCCAACACCCTATTCCTTCGGCCACAGAGATGGCACAAAGCGCAGAACAATGCCAAAGGAGCCCGAATGTGTGCGCACGCTTGTGCTGGGTTCTATGCTTGTACCATATATTACGTCTGCATCATATACCTTCTCTGTTCTAACACATTATGTAACATCACTAAAGGCGCCGACAGGTCGTGGGTATAGGAGAGTTAACGCTATGACCAATGTGGTCACAATATGACCCGTTAAATCACAGTTACTCCCGTCAGTGCACCTTAAGCACACATTATGTCACTCATCATGGCCGTTCATTGCCCATCCGATCAAAACATGACTCGTACAGGCAGGCCACTTCATCATTTCGAACATACCAGTCTGCGTTACCCTGTTTCGATTAGCCCAGGCCAGCACCACGCCGCCACTCCTAAGCTACTGTTGCTATTACCATTGGCTCACTCAGGCCCGAGAAATCGCATCCTCGAATGCCGTTGGTTGGCTGGAAATGTCGATGACCAGTGCATGAGCTCCCTCACCATTAGGCGGCACGGTCCGTCCCCGGACACGCGAACGTACCGCACAGCCGGCCGCGCGGAACATCACGATCAGGCAGCGAGCTGCTGACGCCCTCTCACTGACGCCCACCGCCGGGGCACGTTAGCACGTGCTGACGCCCACCGCCGGGGCACGTCAGTACGTGCTGACACCTACCACCGAGGCACGTCAGTACATGCCGAAGAACAACCTAGAGACAACGCCTTCCTCCTCTCCGTAGCGCCATTCTACGTACGCCCGTGACATTGCCGTGACGTTTGCCATGACCCGTAACATGTCGGACATGGGGATATGCCCTCACCGCGCGCGCGCCGTAACCACAGGCCATTATTGCACAGTCACCACCCAGCGTCGCACAGTCACCACTGAGTGTTCTAGGGGCGCCAGAGAGCGTGAGGACGGCGGCGCACTTGCGGCACGGCACGCTATTGCAGGTTCCCGGCGAGGCAGTGGACTTGGGCTCGGCGTCGTGATGTGGTGCAGCTTGTCACGACCCCGGCTCGATTCGCTCGGCACAGAGACGCCGGCGGTGTCGCTTCGTTCGCGAGGCACGGCCGCGCCTGGCGGGAGCAAGCGAGGCCTGCAGAGTTCACGATCGCACGGTTCGCGAGGGCATCCATGGCCCGCTCCGTTCTTCTCATTCTTGCTCGCACTTCGTGCTTCGCTCTTTACCTTTCTCACTCCATCTCACTGTAGTCTCACTCCATCCCATCTGACCCATCTCTTTTTTCCAGTTCTCCGTCCTTGTCTTCATCCCCTCCCCGTCCCGCCTGCACGTTTATCTTTCTTTTTCTCCTCAGCAAAATCCTCTCACCGTCTCTCTTCCACGGACTTCACAGACTGCCCGCTCTCGCTGGCCAGGGGCTGGTCCAGCACGGTCGGGCCCTATGAAGGCCCCGTCACCTGCTGGGACGCTCTCGCTGGCAGGGGCTGGTCCAGCACGGTCGGGCCCTTTGAAGGCCCCGTCACCAGCTGGGACGCTCTCGCTGGCAGGGGCTGGTCCAGCACGGTCGGGCCCTATGAAGGCCCCGTCACCAGCTGGGACGCTCTCGCTGGCCAGGGGCTGGTCCAGCACGGTCGGGCCCTCTGGAGGCCCCGTCACCAACCGCGCGCTGCCCGCCCGGCTACCAGAGAGGGCGGCACTGAACAGACGGCCGCATTGGCGAGCCTTCGGCGCAGTGGAAGCTGGAGGCGAACTCCGGCCAGTGGCGCATCATGGCGTTCACTCTGCGAGAGGTCGGAGGTCAGAGGTACGGGTCACACGAGGTCATGACCCCTGTATAGCACAGGCCAACGGCACAAACGGCACGACCGAGTTAAGCTAAGAACGGAATAACTAGTTGTGATTGAAGGAAAATATTAACTTAAGGTCACGCTTTTTCTGATGGGATACTAGTGATAGGAACGATCCCTTCTGTGCAACTTAAGGGGAACGTTTCACATTTGAAGATACTGAATGTCAGGGCTGCGAACTTCATGGACTTCCTGCTCAGACACGAGCTCATTTATAACTATTGGTACACCTTTTAAGTGAAAAAGACCGGTTAAGACGGCACAATTCTTGTTTAGTAATATGCTCCTCAATGCGTCATGGTTTGATGACGTCACTGTACCGTGCGCAACACTGACTGATAGGCAACTGACGGCCGTTATATCTAAAATCGCGCTCATGAGCGCCAGATATGAAGGCCTCGACAGTTCTCGAGGAATATGACAGGCGCTCGCTAACGCCTCTCCCGACATACCTTTCCCCATTTTCGTGAGGGTATAGCTCAGAAATTAGAGGGGCTTAGGTCTTCAAATGCGCAGGATTGTTAACACTACCGAAAGGTCTTCAAGATGGTTATTGCAGTTCAAAACCTGATATATGTGAAACAATTCCTTTAGCACCGTGATGATTTAATAATACATTTGCTTTCCTCCCAATTTTAGACTAGACAGCATTAATAGCCTTATTCCTTGTGGCGCAACCAGAATAATGAAAAATAGATGTGATATTTCGGGTACATGCCTTTATGTTCTCCATTCTCCTGGTTATTCTACGAGGAATAAGACCATTATATTGCCTTATCTATGTATATCATGTTCTTCGCAAATGCACTTAACAGATTACGTAATTTTGCTCCCAGTTTTGCCGCTCAGACCGATTATGTAATTAGTTAACTATGGCTTGCTATAGCTAATCAAGCTTGTTCGACGAATGATAGGGTATCGGAAAGGTACATGATGCAGGAGATGCATAGTAAGTTGGCAAGCTAGTTTGCCAGCGTATAGTTCTCCGGAGATTTATTTTTGTTTAGGTCATTAAGACTATGGAAATTTATTACGAACCTCAACGAACAACATAGAGACAAACACATTAATATCGTAACAGAAATTCGGAAGTGCAGAGGTCTTGGGGCCACTGAGGCAGTTTCCTCCTCTCCCAGAGCCCTGACCTGCGTGCCATGCTTACCGTTCTGGATTGTTCAAGTGAGCGTCGGTTTCTACTGATGCGATGTATGTCCCCTGTGTTAGTTTCGCACAATATATCTGGAAATACATGATCAAGTTGAGTACTGCGCAACACATGCTTTGAACCAGAGGCTGCTACTGTGTTCGTGCAATTCTCTTGATAGTGAATCCTCAACAAGCTCTCCTTCTGGCACTGAGGTATCTTTAGGCAACGAATCCACATTCTATGGCGTTTCCACGAGCAAATTATAAACAATTTGTACTGATTGAGTGGATTTAGAAAGTTGAGGAGACGCGAATATCTAGGAGAGTTGAGGAGACGCGGATATCTAGGACAGTTGAGGAGACGCGAATATCTAGGAGAGTTGAGGAGACGCGAATATCTAGAATACAGGTGTTCACAGTTTACTTAGGACTGATGTTTACTTAGGACTAACGAGCGTATATTGTATATGAAAGTATATTGTATATATATATAGTATATTGTATATGAAACCAGATATTCTTGCCGACGGTCTAGTTTCTTCCCACCACCGCAGCGACCAAGGTTCTGTCCAAACCACCGACCGGAACAGCATCCGACGGCGGGCCCTCGCCGTTGCGCACTAACCTGGCCCCAGGCGAGCAGGAACGTCTGCTGCAGGGTCAGGTTGACGCCGGGCAGCGCGGGCTCCGACCCGTGCTGGTGGTGCCATCTCTGGTACGCCCGCCAAGTCAGCGGCAGCGCGTCGTGATCGGACAGGTTCTCGTCCAGCGTCAGCTCCCCGTCCGGCTGCGAGCGAGACATTCCTCGCTTTTAAGGGAATGTTCCACACTTGAAGATATTGAAACAAACATCAGATATGATGAAATGAGGTCACTTTAACTATTGGTATACTTTCGAGGAGGAAATGTAGCTCTAGGCAACACGACTTCTCTGTTCAGTAAATATACTTCTCAATGGGTCATTATTTGATTACGTCATCGTACAGTGCAAAACGTAGAAAGCCAATTGACGGCCTTTATGCCTGGAAATCGTACTCCTGAACGCCAGTTGTGAACAATTCGAGCATTATATTTTTCTCGGCCTTGATCGTCGCATGAATTATGGAATTGCAGGATTTGAATGACTTCATTATGACGTCATGCATGCCAAGGTCACTTTGAAATGCTCTCCGTCGAAAAAAGTATCCACATCTTCACGGATTTGTAGCTCAGAAGCTGGAGGGGCTTAAGCATTTAGGAGGGCCAAGCTCTGAACTGCATCGAAAGGTCTTAACGGTGGCTATTTCAGTTCCAAATTCCATACAAATGTGGAAAATTCCCTTTAATTGGGGACGCGGTGCATGTCACGTGACGGCTCTATCATAATGACTGCACTATGTCTGTAGTACTTCGCTCTTTGCGTGGGCTATTCTGCTATCAGCTTGTTAACTGTTATTCGCTTCAGCATCGCACGTCTGTTACCTACCAACGCCATTCTCTCCAATCTACTTGTACCTAGCGACTTTCCCTGGTCACAGTTGGAATATCCTGTTGTCACCATAAGGACATGGGTATGCGAACCACTCATTACGCTCAACTTGTTAGCCCATGTACTCTATGTGAGGCGCTCATTATAATCAGCATCACAGCCCGTGCACTCGATCCTGAAATGTTATTTACGAGTGAAACGGGGCCAGATCACGACCGCGACGTGTACTTGGTGGCGCAACGAGAACGAGCCTTGACTACCGATGTGATTACAAATTAACCCTTCTCTCCATTGATGGACAGTGCGAAGAAGAGGAGTTACACTCAAGGAGAGGACTTACAGTCGCCTGGCTGCTTGTATGCGGCGCCCCAGCGACTGCCGTGGCTGTACTAGCGCTGGGGGCGGGGGGGGGGATGTCGCTCAGCTGGGATTCGAACTCGGGCCTCCCTCGTGTGAGTCCACGACGCTAAGCACCCGGCCATCACGGCAACAGTTGCCCAGCCACCGAAAGCGAATCACCGCTGCTCGGAGGCCGCACGAAACCATTTGGGAAGCAGTCGCCTTGGGATGTTGGTCAGCGCAGCGCAGCGCAAGGCAGGATTGACGTAGAGCCGAGGATGGTCTGGTCTGGATGGATGGACTGGATGGAAGTTTGCAGATGCCAGGCAATATTATTGCGGGGTTCACTGGAGGCGTCTGCCATCCAGGAGCATGTTATGTATAGCTATCTTACCAACTAAGATAGCTATCTACGGCTATCTATAGCTATCCCGCGCTCTCCTCTCGCAGACGACAACCACGAAAATAGTGGCTGCGATGCCAGCTTTGTGAGGAGGCCCGGCGCTCCTGGACCAGTGCAAAGAAGTAAAACCAGGCAGTCTAACCGCTGAATTCAAGTCGCACACGATTCGCTTCATCTGTAAACAAAACAAACGGGTGGACAGCGTGTTGCCTGCCGATGCCGGCAGGCGTGGACCGAGCTACCGCTGCAGCCTCCATACCTCCGCGCTTATAGCGATGTCCTGAATGTGGACGATCTTGGTGAGGTTGTTGACAAAGTTGTGCCGGACGCAGCTGCGCAGCTCCGCCAGCTGGCGCCTCTCCGCCTCAGTCAGCTGCCGTAGCCGACCCGAGTCGTCGTACTGAAAGCCTGCGGTGGGAAGGCGCAAGAGCGCTGGAGAAGAGCCCGTTCCAGATGTGACGCAGGCACGGCGTCGCGAGATGGCTGGCGTCTGCTACGATCGACTGCGAGCCGACTGGATGCCCTGCTCACGATCACGCGTCGCTATTCAATAAATTGTGGCATTACAGCACGATGTGCCTCGTGCACAAATGAACACGCAGAAGTAGCTGGAGACGAGCGGAGTTGGATAGACGTTTCTTGCCCCAAACATCAAGTACATCCCTCAAACTCGCTGAGATATTTGCAAAACTCGAAAATTGTGCTTCCATGGACGCGCTTTAGAGAGCCACCTTCCATGGAAAAAAATCATTCTTATCGTTGCCCGCATCATGGGTATCTAAGCTGTAACAGCTGCCATGTCGTTTTGCGAGAAGTGCCGTGGGTCAGTGCCTGCGGCGTGCGCACTGATGGGCTGGAAGCCTCACCAACACTGACCCGTAACGCCGAGACCATGGAGCAGCTCATGCGACAGCACGTGCCCTAGAGTGGCGTACTTCACGTACTGCGGTACAGCGTCGTAGAAGTACGGCTCGCTGAGGAACGCCAGCGGCACGACTGGGAGGAGAGGCCATCGCACGGTGAGGCTCTGCGCTCACTTAATGTGACGGCCAGCGCCCCTCACTACTGGGTATAGGGTCGTCTACTCTGCGCTTGACCGGCTTATGGGCTTTGGTGAGGGGAGCATCATGCATAATACGTAATTCCCAAGAAAACAAAAACGCAGGCTGTTGCATTGCCGACTCACCAATCTTATTGACCTCTAACAGTCAGTATTTATTTGCTGCCACGCATTTCATACAGTACATGAAAACAATGCCATATTTCGCATGTAAAAAGACTTTAAAGAGTGGCTAACCACATCCCTCTCCAATAAGCCTGAGCATGGAAATAAAAACGACCGCAGCCGTACCCATTTTGAGAAGTCTTCGGTATTTCAGGGAAGGAAGCATCCAGACAATGCAGCGATGCCAGGTCTGGCCCTTAGCCTGAGAAACTGTTTTTCATGCCATCACATTAGCAACACACGTCCGGTTCTGTAAACACTGCCAACACTGGTTCCGATTCGTATCGCCTTACCTACTGTGTTGCCGTCGGGAAAGTAGAAAGCGTTCAATTCATACGGCTCTGAAACTTGACTCCAACTGAAACGAAAACACTGAGTCACCCCTCCATGCCGCAAAAAATTGATTTGGTTGAACATGTGCATTAAAGGGAGTACCTCACCTCTTTTGTACTGTTCGCTTATTGCTGCATCAGACGCATACGGTTTGATTACTTATACCAGTGTCTCGAATTTCTTACGAACAGCTCAGAATTTTGTTCTATTTGAAGGAGCCGACCCTGCGGGGGAAAATACAATTTAACTACCTGCTCACCAGTATGGGTGCAATACATTCTATTTGTCCTGTTTCTTCCCATGGAGATGTCCGGAGCCATCGTCTTCGTGAAACATTCAGTTTTGCTCGGTTGCTCGGTTTTGCTAATTTTTTTCCGGCGGTTTTTTCATGGAAGGATAACTCCTGCCACAAATGCGAAAGGCATGCCTGCGAAAAGTTGTTGAAGCCTATGTGGCACTGTAATGATATGCCTATGCCTGGAGTGGCATGCAAGTTTTTTTTCAAAATTTGGATGTGCGTTTTCGTATCCACTTTTCACACCGCCGTCAGTTCAAACAAAACAAGTTTTTGCAGGCATATCAACAGGCAGAGGGCCTTGGCAAACCGTGTAATCGACCGTATAAGATTGCGTAACAGTTCAGTTCATGTGTACAGTAACATTAAAAGTACATGTAAGAACGCATGCGCACAGTAACTGTAAGATTTCGCTTTACGCGTAAGCGGCAGGCAAGAGAGCATGCGCATCGGACGTGGGGTTGCCGACAAACTCAAGCAGCACATTCCAGCATAACAACGAACAGCCGCTGTAATAAGCCGCTCAAATTACTGAAGGCGGGGATAGGGAGATGATCATACCTCGCATCTCTCAAAAGGTGATTCGTATATTTTAAAAGTTTCAGCAAAGTGGATGTTACAATCATGAATCAAATAAGCAAAGACACGCTTGAACAACAGCTGATCGCCGAGACCTCACAGCGACAGACAAATCGGATACGCACATGTAATTCTCCGAAACTGTGTCAACTTCCTGATACTTGCGAATGGAGAAATTCCTCACAGCTTGCATCGCCCGTATTAGCCGGAGCACCTTATGCCGATCCGGCTGGTCATGGTCCTGCAACAGCGGTTAAAATGTCAGCCACGCCACAGACCAGAGTGCATAATCGAGTCGAGATCCATCGGTGTACCGTACGCAGTCTTATCTCTCGGCGTACCTGGGACTGGACCTGACAGCCCATCCCCGAAGTTTTCTTTTGTTAATTTGTGACCACTAAAAATATCATGATTTTTATATTGTTGACCGTAAGGAATTCTACCATTCCAGCCGATTTCTTGCCACTTTTTGGCCGAATGAGTCGTTACCTGTGATCCAGACGTCAAGGTCATGTCAATCAGGTTACTCGCCACATCCATAATGCGTTTAATTTGTTGGCAGTTAGGGCATAACGCTGGCTTGTGTCATACACGTAGTCGATTTTTTCGTCAGAGAATTTAGGCCTAAGCGTGTCTGAGAGTGAGAGGCCGGATTGTCAGAGATCAAGCTAGGTCAGGAATGTCCTAGTATTTTTTATACGGGATTTATAGCACGAAACTTGTAGCAATGAATTCGTACGGTCCATCACATCAACATCCTATTGACGAGCACAGTGCAACCAATCGTAACGCATGTTGTCGGGTCAAGATCACACTGGGTCCGTAAATTGGCTAAACAGGTAAGTATCCATAGGCGTCGTCCGTGCCCTGGTCGGTACAGACCTGTGGTGTTGGAGATGTTTCATTTTTCCGTTCGCTTCGCATTTAGGCACTTGCAAGCAAGCGGCACAGATCTCATCACATCAGATCAGATCACCCCACATCTTTCTTCCTCCGTACGTCATTCAGGGCACCCGTCAACAAGCTGCCTAACACGCGTCCCGGGAGGCCGGCTGGATGCATTTCGCTCGGGGGAGCAATTTTACCCCCTGAGATCTCGAGAACTAAGAGAGCTAGAGACACCAAATCCACAAGGCTGTGTTGACCTGGACGTGAACTCACTTAAGTCTGATTCTCAGGTTGCTAGATTATGACCTTCGGGTCAAACAAGGTCCATACAAGGTCAAATTCCAGGTTGGTCTCCAAAATGCCCCCAGAAGCTAGATATCTGTTTTAAGCAAAAGTTCACATTGCTCATTTAAGGTCAGTAACCTTTTTGACCTTTTGAATGTCATGGTGACCAAAATCATACCAGACTGCTCTGAGTTTTGCACTTGAATAAGCGACAAAGATATTGCTAGACAATGTGCCCTCTAAAAACAAAGTGCCGACCTGGGTAATTTTAGGATCAATGACCTGTTCTGAACTCTAAGAAGTCCATGAAAGATGTGTAATGCGTTTTCTGCTGTCAATAAATTCGAAATGAGCACCAGCAGCTATCCCATACAGCAAGCTCAAGAGCAATAAAACGGGTTGGTTTTGACCTTGGTCTGACCTTCATACCTGAACTTAGGCCAACGTAATTTGTTCATTCAAAATTTGTGTTGCCTAAGGAAAGTATCTCAGAGATGTGTGGTTTCGTCTAACACTCCGTTATTGCATCAGAATGAGCGATTCCCTAGAAATTGATTTCGCTGAACCCATGATCCGATTTGACCTGCCATAGGTCAGCGACCTTACAAGGTACATCAAACTTTTTGATGTCAAACGATCTGCTATTCAATTGTCTATAGCTATGCAAAATTTGGCGCGGCTACGCCGCGCCGTTCGGAAGTCATTCTGGAAAGTCTTCGGCGGAGTCAATTTGAACCCCACCCGAACGCGTGTTAACTTACATCAGAATGGTTTCAAAAGCTGGGCAGACATTAACAAGCTATCAAACGGCGCGTCATCAAGGAAACACGTGCATATACATTATCCCAAAATATGGTGCCTGTGCCCCGGTTTCATTGCGCCACTTCGGCTAAGCTGAATCTCATCGCGACGTTGCAATACTCGTTGCGTACTCATTGTTTGACGTATATCACTGCAAGAGCGGAGCCGACATGAAAGCTTGAGGAGGGCCAAGTTTCCAGCACGGAACCGGCTAACAAAAAATCCGATCTGGAGAAAAGAACAGAAAGGAGAAGTCGATCTGGAGAGAAGTCGTGTCATTTCACCCTCTTGGAGAGAGAGCATGGTCCCTGCCAGAAAACGCATGGCCCCTGCCCGCACCCCCCCCCCCCTTTCGTCCCCCGCCCACTGGATCCACCACTGCCGGGGCACACACCCACCACGGCCGGCGCCAAACTGGGCAGGGTGGGCGTGTTCTGCGCGATGAACTCGTCGCTCCAGAAGCTCGGCGAAGCGACCAGAAGCGAGCGCAGAGACCGTAGCTTCCTCAGCGCCATGGAGTAGACCGGCGAGGGCTCCGCCGCGGCCTTGCGTTCTATTGACGTTGTCAGCACGGTCTTGATGTCGTTCAGCAGAACCGACACCTGCAGCAGGGGACAGCTGACGCCGCGGGAAGTAGTGGTCGGGCGAAATGCCTCTAGAGTTATCTGTGGCAGCGGTGGAAAATGATATTCCAGGTGTGTTTGCATCATACATCGGGCACGGCAATGCATTGCGGTGCCTTTACTCGATTGATACATATATATATATATATATATATATATATATATATATATATATATATATATATATATATAACGACATCGACCCAGTATAATACTTGCGTCCAAGTATACAGGACAGGCACCACCTGAATCGGGTATCATTTTTGGTAGTCCCTGCAGGGGTGAACGCCTGCGGCGGGGACCACCTGTGATCAGCCACGGCAAGGCGAGGACCATCTGTGATCAGCCACTGCAAGGTGAGGACCATCTGTGATCAGCCACGGTAAGGTGAGGACCATTTGTGATCAGCCACGGTAAGGTGAGGACCATCTGTGATCAGCTTTGGCAAGGCGAGGACCATCTGTGATCAGCCACGGTAAGGTGAGGACCATCTGTGATCAGCCACGGTAAGGTGAGGACCATCTGTGATCAGCCTTGGCAAGGCGAGGACCATCTGTGATCAGCCACGGTAAGGCGAGGACCATCTGTGATCAGCCACGGTAAGGCGAGGACCATCTGCGATCAGCCTCGGCAAGGCGAGGACCATCTGTGATCAGCTACGGTAAAGCGGCAGTAAGCAGTCCGGAGCAACGGGTCAATGCCCACCCACTTGGGTAACAGGAACGATTCGTTCAGCGAACATCTGAGATCACTCAAAGCGGGAACTGGCCGCGGCAGTGTCCTTCTGAGCGTCGTACTGAGTGCCCTCCTGTTCAGTGGACTTGTGGCAGTGTCTGCTGTTCATGCAGCATCAATGAAAGCCCTCCTAAACTGTAACGTGGGGGGATATGCTTTATTTTATTTATTTATCATTTTTTGGTTATTGTCTCCGTGTCCAGTCCAAGCCCATATCGCCAATGCTATATTCCCAGTAATTTATAGGGAATAACCGCCCTCTTGCCCACTAGCTCCCACGTCCTTGATGTTAGTGCAGAAAAGCCACTGACAAGGAGACGCTTGTAATTAGGGGAGTGTATCGCGTATGCCCAAAATACATGATTTGGATCCAAGAACGGATAAAGGAGAGCGGCATGAAACCAGGAAATTTATTAGGTGAACTGTGATCGGCCTTTGTCATTTTGTCCTGCTCCTTCTTGCCCGGGTGTAGAATCGGTAGAACCACGTGAGCAAACGCCACTGACACCAAGCAGCATCTAAAGTGACAAGATCGGGTCTCATCCGTCACGAAAACTCAATGCTGATTGTAGCCAGTCAGAATGAGAGCCTTCTGCAGCATGACAGGGCGCCAAGTATAATTTCCGTTCATCGCATGTCCAACTTCACTTGTCGAAACGCCACATGTCCTTCGAGACTTCAGACGAGGTCGCGCAGCCTCACCTCGTCCTTGAGCTGCTGTAGCCTCCCTCTGCCGGCGTCGCGAACGAACATGCCAGCCACAGGCACGGGGTACATGTCCTTCGTCAGATCCAGGCACATGTCCTTCAACTGCGTCGCCGGCGCCGGCGCCAGCATGTCCGCCATGGCGCTGAGGTAGTCCATCCTGGGGGACGTCGGACACCTTCCGGAGTCGGTGGAGGGGCACAGACTCTTCGAGGTTTGGTGCATCCTGGCTGCAGGGCATGTACGTTGCTTTTTTATGATTCGGTGGTGTGCATACAAAATAACAATGAGTTCGCGGCTGTCAGGGAGTTCAAGTTAACGCCGAGCTTTTGGGAAACATGTAAGCCATTCCAAGTATATGTAAAGGACTATCTGACGCAGCAGAGTTCATATACTCCACACAAATACTCTTAAGAAATCATATAAACTGGATATGCTTACACCTAGAAAGGTAAGGTTAAGAACATACTGTTTGCATTATACGTTTGATTCTTTTGATATTACCAATGGTATGACTGCTAAACGTTTTTGGGTGTATTAATATTTTGCCCCGCGTACTACTACGGTAATCTATACGAAATAGGGCGAATCACGTCTCCGCAAAGTGACCACCTGAATGTGGACATTACCGAAAAGGTCATGGAAGTATACTGTCGGCAAACATTTGCAGGTATTACGGTAGGGCATTTTGCGGTTTGCGTTTGACATCTATAACGGCTAGCGTACTTCTTAGTCTGCTTTGGTTTGTCTCCATGCATTCACATACTTTCTATGATATTTCATCTATATTCAGTCCTGTCCAAGTGCATGTCATGCGTTTAGATTGTGTCAGCCAAACCTAGATCAGGTCAGTCACACCATTTTAAAAAACGGTCGAGGTGAAGTTTTCCAGCCTTCCGAAAGGTATTCATTTTTAGACTGAAGTGTTTTGTAGGTCCACAAGCCAGTTCACCTATCTCTGGTCATATTGAGCAGCTCTTAACACGCACCCGAGTGGCCATTTGAGCGCAACGCGCTCCGGGGGGGGGGAGTAATTTAAACCCTAAGATCTACCAAAAGTAAGAAGCCTAGAGACACTCAAATTCACAGGATATGTAGGCCTGTATGTGAACGCACATATGACAAATTTTGGGTCCCTAGGGCATGACCACCTCAGGGTAAGATGATGGCAAACACATTCAAACTCCAGGTCCGTAGCGAGGTGTCCTTAGAGCTTCTCATGCAACTGCCCTTTACCTAGATACGTGTTCTAAGCAAAAGGCCACTGATGTTTATTTCAGGCAAGTGGCATGATTTGACCTTCAGAAGGTCACGGTGACCAGGATTGCTTTGACTTCTTAAAGTTTAGTAGGTGTTAAGGACTATGCTAGGCAGCATGTTCCTAAAAAAACAGGCTGATCAGCGTTGTTTCAGGTCAGTGGCCCCTTCTGACCAATATCAATAAGACCAAACAGACTGACACCAAAAGGACGTCATTGTACGTGCCTCTCATCAATAAATTCGAAATGTGCATAACAAAACTATTTTGTGAAGCAAGTTCTCCAGCAAAAGGCAGTTCGGGTTTGATCCCGGTACGATCATCATACCTTAACCGAGGTCAATATGATGTATTTTGTCCTAAATTCAACACTACAATAGTCATAGGAAACTGTCTGGAGAAATGCTCGACTACATCTAACACACCGATGTCGCATCCCCTAGGAATTACTTTCGCTGACATCCACGGTCTGACTTTCAACTGCCATAGATCAGCGACCTTGCAAAGCACCTCTACTTTGTATACTAAAAAATCCGCTATGGAGTTACCTACAGCTGTACAAAAAGTGGCACGGCTAAACTACGCCGTTAGGAATCTATTTTGAAAAACCTCCAGGGAGGAGCATATTTACTTTGACCCGAGCGCTTGTTTGTGATTTTAGATCTGGGCTGCACCGTTTACTCTGTGCTCGTACAGCTCATTGTAAGTCCGTTCTTGCGACCGGCGTGGGACATACCCCCACTACGCTTAAAGGGAGTGTTCTACATTTATATGTGGCTTTGAACTGAAATTATCTTTTTAAAAACCTTCCGGTGCTGCTCACAATCCTGACCTTCAGCAAACCTAAGCCTATCTAGTTTCTGAGCTATATGCCGACAAAAATTGGGAAGTGTTTTTCGGGAGAATATTTTAAGGTCACCTTGGCATTCATGACATCACGGTAACGCCATTGAAATCATGCCATTCCATAAGCAATGCAGTGATCAAGGCCAAGAAAAAGATAAATGTTGGGGCGTCCATGTCCGGCGTTCCTGAGCGAGATCTCCCGACATAACGGCCGTTAGCCGACTCAATTAATGTTGCGTAAGGTACGATGACTTTATCAAACTATGGCGCATTGAGTAGCATAGCAGCTAAACAGAGCATTTGCTGTCTAGAGGAGTGTTTTTCTTTCAAAAATATATCAATAGCTATAAGTCGGTTGTTTTATCATATCTGATGCTTTCCTCCATGTATGCAACCGCGAAACATACTCCCTAACACGTACGCCACACTTGGCATGGTATGGGTCACACCTGCTGATGACTTACTTTCGTTGTATAACCCAGAGCACAAAGGGCTATACAACGTATCTTCCCTGCCCTGAGGAGAGCTCCCAGAACTGTACGCCATTCTAGATTCAATAGCTTTACACGAAATTCAATAGCTTATTACAGGCTCGCGCGATCTATACGACCTCCGACTGACTGCATCGTTTTTGTTTCCGAGACAGACATAAGCTGTGCGGCCCGTCCTCGCCTGTCAGGGCGAGCGAAACGCTCGTCCGATGTCAGTTTAACCCGCAATCAGCTGGGGATGACCACCTTCCGAGCATCGCAAGAAGGTCGCAGAAAGCGACCACCTTCCGAGCATCGCAACAAGTCGCAGAAAGCGACCACCTTCGGAGCATCGCAAAAAGGTCGCAAAAAGCGACCACCTTCGGAGCATCGCATCTGCGACCAAAACAGGTCACAGAAAGCGACCACATTCCAAGCATCGGCCACAACGTCCAGAATGCGCAAGGCGCGTCTTCCAAATTTTCAGCACCTTGCAAGGGATAAATTTGAAACATTCCTGACGAAACATCCTTTGTCGTTTGGTGCAGCCGCTGATTGTGACGCTGTCAGTGAAGGCTTGTTCGGTTTCCTCCGATTCTGAGAGGTCCTGTGACGCGCGATTTACTGCCTTGTATAGGTCTGCTCCGATGTAACCCGTCGCCTGGCATGACAATCTGCCAGTCAGTGTCTGTCACGTCATGCAAAGCCACACTGGGTCACCATCAGGGGTAATGTCAAATTACCTTATGCGTATCGAGTCATAAGTACTTATCACCCCACTTGTGGCAAATGAATCGGCACAACTGTTATGTTTCCAGCCTGACTGTGCATGCAAGCGTCCATGTGGATTACAAGAGCAGCGTAATCAGGTCCGACGAGGTGATGTGGTGTTGACCTGTCGTGACCTTTACTTTTGGCCTTTATGTTAACATCATGATATGGCTTTGGGGCGGAAGAACTCCTTTTTAAATGTAGTCCAAGATCTGGGCGATTTTGAATGTATTTGACGTGACCTGTGACGTCATCAGTCATGGATCATATATCAGCTCGCCCATTTCTGGGGCCGTCGATCGCTGTACGATTTTTTCGATCGCGCGAGTTGATCCTGCGGTACCAGGAGGAGCCACTTTTAGCATCCTCGGCGTTGCAGATTACGGGATGTGCCAGGCGGCGCTCGGTTAAAGTGAAACATGGAAAGTCACGGCAGAGCCGTAAACAGCACATCGTTGGCTTTGACACAGTGGCCACAACCCATGCAATGAGCTTTATTCAAACACAAGTGGTGCTATTGCGTTAGACATGTACGGACTCTCATCTATATATATATATATATATATATATATATATATATATATATATATATATATATAGATGTAGATGTAGATATAGATATAGATATAGATATAGATATAGATATAGATAGATATATATATATATATATATATATATATATATATATATATATATATATATCAATCTCTCCCTCTCTCTCTCCTCTTCTCTCTCTCTCTCTCTCTCTCTCTCTCTCCTCTCTCTCCTCTCTCTCTCTCTCTCTCTCTCTCTCTCTCCTCTCTCTCTCTCTCTCTCTCTCTCTGTGCGTGTGCGTGTGCGTGTGGTAGATATGTACGGATACTGGTAGAAATGCTCGGAATCTGGTAAATATTCATGGGGTCGGGCACTGCGGAGAATTCGCACGTCTCAGCAAATTCACAGCGAATTGCGTCGGAAAGGCTTTGGGGTAACCAGCGACCGACGGATCCAAATGTCCATGCACTATATTTGCAGTGTGGTAGTTCTGTCGAACTTAGATATTATAACCATTTACACAGTTTAAGACCTAAGCAGTTAAGTCACCGGTGTCCAACAACTCAACGTTTAATAGTAGGGATAAAATAATCTGCTATCAAACAGTTTTTGACTGCGATTGATTGAGCCCGAGGAAATAAATCCGTAAAGCTGTTCATCTTAGGAAGAGGAGGTGCGGTGCCAAGGAAAATATCGCGAAGAAATATTTTGCTGCCCAAGCCACATGCACATTTCTAGCTAGTCATCCTGATCTTATGTATCTATTCATGCTAACTTGAGACGAGTTAAGTAAAATTTCGTTCTAAAAGGTGACGCACTCCCTATAAGATGGGGTCATTGGGCTGACACACGCACCTGTACATCAAAAGTAGGCCGTTGTGTATGGTGTGCGCCGGAAGAAGCTCAATCTTCATATCCAGGTCATCCAGGTAGCCGGGAAACGGTACGTATACAATGTCCGAACTGCTGACGTTTGCGGACAGCGCCTCGGATAGCAACACCGTCCAATTCACCTGTGGAGCACCGAAGATTGTCCTCCATGCTTGGGGAGCACCGAACACAGATTGGCACATCTGAAGAGCGTGGAGCACGTGTTACAGTCGAGCGGCACCGTGCGCATGGTTTCATACATGAGCGGCACAAGACACGGGCGTAGCACTCCATGAGCCCCACACTCCGGGGAGAACATTCGGGGAGCACTGAGCACAGCTTGTAGCACCTGGGAGGAGATCAGGGCGTCATTGTTGAGGCACCGAAACCGAACGCAGCTTGAGACATCCAGGTTCCGTTCTGTCCTGCTCCTTGGAAACCCAAATCGTACCGCGCACTGTTGAATGCAGCCTCAAACAGCAAGACATCCGATACATTAACCACCATGTACGGTAGCCGATGACTTATAAATATCCTATCGATACTCGGCGTTAGATGTTATCGAAAAATTGGAACCCGTTCACCTGATCGGGTAAGCTCAGTGGCTCTGTGACGGAGCTGCCTCACCTGATCTGCCTGAGCTGAGCTGAGCTGCCTCACCTGATGTGAGGGAGCTGTCTCACCTGATCTGCCTGAGCTGAGCTGAGCTGCCTCACCTGATGTGACGGAGCTCCCTCACCTGATGTGAGGAAGCTGCCTCATCTGATCTGCCTGAGCTGAGCTGAGCTGCTTCACCTGATCTGTCTGAGCTGAGCTGAGCTGCCTCACCTGGTGTGACGGAGCTGCCTCACCTGATTTGCCTGAGCTGAGCTGCCTCACCTGATGTGACGGAGCTGCCTCACCTGATGTGAGGGGGCCGCCTCACCTGATCTGCCTGAGCTGAGCTGAGATGCCTCACCTGATCGCGTCACGATTGCCGAATCTCACCCCTGTCTCCAATGACATGCGACACATGCGCGCTGTGTGTGGTTGTTTACATTGCAACGCCTAGCAACCGCAATCCTGTATCAAACGTCGTGCCTGCCGGCCAGCTGGGCCCCTCTCGACCACAGCGACCAGTGTGATCAACAATGTTATTTTTGACCACATAGCTTGTCAGCAGCTGAGCGATGAGAGCTTCCTCAGTGGTCCGCGTTTGGCTGCACAGAAGGAGGCCCTGAGGAGCATCTGGCACGGAGCGCAGCCGACCACCGGCCGGATTGCACTAGGTGCGGGCCACTCCCGACCTCTGCCGGCACTGCGGCTGGCTGACCGGGGTCAGCGGCGACTGGGCCGCGGCTCGGGTCTGGGTCTGGCGGCCGGCGGCCCGTAGATCGCGTTTGGGTCGGGTGTCATGGGGTCAGTCGAGCGCTTACGACTGCTACACACTGACAGCTTTTTGTTGTGTTGCGTTGCGTTGCGTTGCGTTGCGTTGCGTTGCGCTGCGTTGCGTTGAACTAAAAACTGAAAGGTAAGATATCAACAAGATCACGCACACATTAAAGTAAATGTTTTGCATTTGAAGATCATGCAGCACGAATGAGATATGATGAAATCAATTCAGTTAAACCTATTGGTGTATTTTTCCATAGAAAATTACTCTGGAAAACAAGATTTTTCTTCTTAGTAAATATACTCGTCAATACGTCATTGCTTAATTGCGTCATGGGTCGCTTGTGTGACGGTAAAGTGCTGCCAAACTAGTGTGAGACTGCAACTTACCTGTAGTATCTCAACCTGGACGAGAGATGGCAGCACAGGCTGGAAGTGTTCGCTGGGCCAAATATCGTTATGTACTCGTGTTTTGGCCCTTTCTCATTTTCCTGTATACTCACCAGTGAGTTTAAAATGCTACCTTGCCTTCACATCACCGGATGTGGCGCTATTCCCAGGTTATTCCATTCCAAGTTTTATTTCCGTCATAGCTAGCAAATGAACAAACCATATCCAACTTACATCAGGTAGCATAAAACGTGCGACTTGGTTGAAGCTTGCACAGCTTGCTCGACGATGATTGAGTGTCAAATGACATCCACTATATTTAGAAATCACGCCCACAGACGCTAGATCTGAACGACCGAATAATAATCTCATACAGCTCACGACCACGAACAAATGTGGAATACTCTCTTTAAGGAAATTGCCCCGGGTCTATTTGGCATTTTGAGCTGAAAAAGCCTTTCTTGAAGATCATTCGGTGCAGTCCACAGCCATGCGTTCCTTAAAGTGAATGCTCCACATGTGAAGATATTGAAGCAAGCATCATAGATGATGAAACGAGCTTGCTCATAGCTATTGGCATAATTATGCCGATAGCTCTGAGCGAGCACTAGACAGCACTGCTCTGCTCTGCTCTAGGCAGCACAATTTCTTTGCTTAGCAAGAAATGGTGACGTGATACATGCTCCGCGACTTTTTCCTCACTCCGTCACTCACTTTTTGAATGCGTCACTTTTTGAATGCGTCATCGTACCTTGCACAGCATTAATTGAGTGCCGACTGACGGCCGGTCTATCTGGAACTCCCCTATCTGGTTCTACATGGATTTCCCCAAATTAATTTCCACATCTTCCCGGGCGTGTGGCTCAGAAACAAGAGGGGTTACATCTTAAGAAGGGCGTGGATTTGAACAGTGCCAAACGACCTTAAAGATGGCTATTTCAGTGCAAAACCATCATAGAAATGTGAGACACTCCGTTTAAGAACAAGAACCCTCTAGTTTCTGAGGTACACGCCCGCGAAAATGTATAAACTTTTTCGGAGAGACTATTTCAAGGTCATCCAGGCATCAATGACGCCATAAAACGCCATTCAAGTACTGTCTTTCCATTACTTATGTGGCGACCGAGGCAAATAAAAAATAGGTGTCGAGTCATTCATATCCGGCGTTCCATAGCACCATTTCAAGATACAACGGCCGTCAATTGGCTCTCAATCAATTTATTGCGAGATACGATGCCGTAGTGAAGCAATGGCATACTGAAGAGCATATCTGCTTAACAGGGAATTTGAGTTGCTTAGAACAGTCTTTTCCACTTAAAATTATACCAACAGTCATAAGCGACCGTATCACATCGTGTCTGATGATTGCTTCAAACATCTTCAAATGTGGAAAATTGTATCCAGTGTAATCAGCCACCAGCGACAAACCTTGTCTGGTCAAAATAGTAGACAATGGTGTGTTATTCAGCCATCGCTTGCAAGTACCGAAAACTTGACCGAAATTCAAGTTTGCATCTGTCAAGAGTTGCCCCCCCCCCCCCCCCCCGTCATCACGTACGTAGACTGCAATGGATTAGTGGGCGCGTTTTTAAATTTCACTGACTTCGTTATGTTACTTTTCAGTTCCGTCTCGCACCGCACTGCACCGTGCCGCGCCGCATCGCATCGCATCGCATCGCATCGCATCGCATCGCATCGCATCGCATCGCATCGCATCGCATCGCATCGCATCGCATCGCATCGCATCGCATCGCATCGCATCGCATCGCCAGTGTGGGCGGCCTTTACATCGCCGTGCGTTAGCGGCAATAGGGTCCTGCAAGCGTAAGCGCACCGGTTTCTGCGCGTTTACTTTACGGATCTCACCTAACACAGAGTGGGATCAGCACCACTTTCTACCCGTGTGCATCATCATCACTTGTTTGGGCATGGGCAATTGATCATTTTACCATGGTAAAATCAGGACAGTAAGTATGCTTCTCTTCGTCGCCAGGGTTTGCATGAGGGCTAGCAAATGATCTACTTCACGTAAGGCTTGGGCGCTTCAGTGCTTTATATCAGAGTAGGTGCGAAGGCACTTAGTGTCGTTGTCTTCCTTCGCAATGCCAAAGTGCACACCTGAGATCTGGTGGTTTGAGCAGATCACATGCTGGTTGTTTCAGCCCAACTTGGCTTGCCCTCACCATGACGTTGGCAGTGTCTACTGCGATGGATGCATGCACTTTGGGTTACCTTCATTCACATTCTTGACAACTCAAAAAGGTGTCTTTGGAAGACGATTAGCATTGACGCTTTTCTTCTTTCTTGTAGGGTGCCTCTGGGTCAGTCCTCCTCGAGGACTGACCCAGAGGCACAGTTCACCAAATTCCTGGGTTCTGCTTTTTCAACTCCGACGTTCACATCCAGCTCTTCTCTTTCACTTGCCCCCCCCCCCTCGTCTGGTAATGGAGGCAGGGAGTATGACACACAAAAGGTCAGAATTTTAAAAAAACTGGCCCATATGCGATGTTTTCTTTCCAACCACATACGTCACATGAACCAGCTTCAGTGTTGACATGTAGCCCAGCACCTAGCTCAGCCCTAAAAGGCACAGCTGCAGCATAGCCTTACGCTTCTCCAAATGACCGTCACGCAAGAGCAGTGGCCGAACCAAATGATGCCTGTTTCCCCTTCAACCACAGCACAGGAGGGGCGATTACCGGCTTTGTAATTTTGTAACATGATATTCGTTAAGTGAGCTGTATTTTTGGCGAGGCACGACCAGTATCCTAACAAAGGCTACCTCTTTGGAAAGGTCCAGGTCCCTCGTTTTTTGACGTAGCTTGACAGGGCGTGAATGTAAACCTTCAAGGAACTACACGCACGCATACCTTGATTTGATTACGTAATCGCGGTATGTGCAAAGCCACAGCACCAGTCGGGCCGTTTGATGCCTCAGCGAGGTTGGCGCGCTACTGGGATTTACCGTCGCCGCGTCTGCTTCCTACACGCGTCCTTTGTGCGCGTTTCTCTTTTATTTCTCGAAGTGGCTGGCTCCGCCAGTGTCCGAATCGTGCGAAGCCGGCGTACCTATCCGGATCCAGAACAGGTGTTCTGAAGTGACACCGGGATATGCCCAAGCTTCGCGGAATGATGTAACATCGCCAGACACACTTTGAAAATGATATAAAACTTCGCGGAACCCAACTCAACCTCCAACACCGACAAAGCATGTCGATACCCAATGAAAGAGCAATCGAAAAACTTCGCGGCACGAGTACATACACATAATGCGCTACAATTGTATTCCACACACCCAGTGGTGCCTCTTGCTGTGGGTGAAAAATATAAAATCAGTGAATTGGAAATAGGCCCGGGGCGCATTCCTGGGTAGACGAGCAAACTAAGCACGCGGAATGGCGCATTCCTGGGTAGACGAGCACTCTCAACACGCGGAATGGCGCGATCCAAATCAGACTTAGGGGGCGCCACGAGCGGCATTTAAACATGAATGACGGAGCACCTGATAGATGAAAGGAGATCAAAGGGTCACCCGCCTCGTGCACCGAGGCTATTTGGCGCGCCTTCGTCATCATGTTACCATATCGATTGGCTCCGTCCAAGCGCGCATCTGACTTCCATCATATCAGGCGGCCTTGAGAGAGCTGTTGTTTGTCGCGCTGGAGCACACTGTCGAGGGACTCGGATGCTCTGGCACTGGCGGCAGACCGCACTTAGAAACGCCACAAGGGACCGGCAGATCACGTTTGGAGACGCCGCCAGGGACCGGCAGGTCACGTTTGGAGGTGCCACCAAGGGCCCGCAGCCGCCGCCAATTACGCAAATTGTTCAGCAATATGTTGGTGGACGGCCAAGCAGGATCTGCTCAGAGCCATTCATGCGTAATTTGTACGTGAATGGTGGTTTCCTACGGACACAAACAGCTCTGAAATAAGACCCGAAATAAAGTCAACTGGCTCATTGATTGACGCACGGCCCTCCGCATGATAAATGCTCTCCCCCTTGGACAAAAAGATCGCAGACATGTCTGACAGACTAGCATTTGATCACTTTTTGCCGCTAGTCTTGATCTCACGTCATAAACCTTTGCATTGAAGTTGTCGTCGGAAGACTCACCTCCTTCTTGAAGCATGGACTTGATTGCTGATTTAATTTCTGTGCAATCATAGCCATGGTCCTCCCTGTCCTTGTCGTTGCATTTGCGTGCTCTTTCCAGATAAGGTACTGATCGAGTCATAAGAGCGGGCCTCGCTGCCACCGCCACCAACGCGTTGGCGTAAAATTGAAAAGATCACGTGACAGACTGCGTGCCGAAGTGTAATGCTAATCTTCAATTCTCATCTCACCACGTTGCACGAGGCTCCGTCTCTGTGTAGAGTATGCAATCCAGTATGTACTGATTTATCGCTCGCATGTACACACTGTAAGGGCCTCACGGTCGACGTTGGTAGATAAACTGCTGTTCTGACGGCGACCCTGGTCATTATGTTTAAATATATATGAACTACAGATCAAAGTGTCCTAAAAGACCTGTGACCAGACGCTCTATTTATCTTAAAGGACGTCAGTGGGGCAGTTTTGGCAGTGCTGACCTTCAACCCTCGGTCTACGGGGGTTTTTCGTCTTCGCCGCGCGAAGGAGGGGGGACTCTAAGGCGATCTAAAATATCGAAATGTAAGCAAGGCAAAGCCACACAAAAAACAGCATTAAACACCTGTTGTCAAATTGATCACATAAATGTGATTGAACAATGGTGAATGTGGTCCTTGACAAGTGAGGATAGGTGAAAAGGGTCAATTAGCACTTAAGAAATCCATCATGGTATTTCAAGAACAAATTATGATGCGACAGCGCGGAAGACGAAGTCAAATAACTAAATATCTTTACAAGGTAAGCTATTAGCGCGAGACACAAAGTCTAATGCACATCCGACGCTGCCACAGTTTAAGCCCAAAGCGAGCGCAAACTTCCCTCCAAGGCCGGACAATAACTCGCCAGGCTGTCACATAACCAGCCAGCGTTCTCGATTCAACGGGGCCAATGACGTCACGACGCTAAAATTGGCAGCTGTGGTACCGCTCTGGCGCTATCAATACCGATCAGCCTCCGCGCAGGCAGCACGACTGCGGTCACCATCAGCCTCAACCCACGGGGGGGGGGAGGGGGGACCAACGTGATGCCTGATCCTGTCTGAAACGTGGGAACAGCAGAATCGCAGCCGAGGCTCTGCCCGTCGCCAGTCAAAACTGACCCCAAATTTCGGTCAAGGTAACTTCAGTTTGTGTCCAGCCCGTGGCTCAATCGTTTCGATTGTCGGCCTTCCATCCGGCCCAGCCGCGTCGCGGTGGGTGGGGTGCACTCACTTCGGCGGCCGCCGTTCGCTCCTGGCTGGGGCGGCCTGCGGCTGGTGGCAGCAGCCGGGCCAAGGTCAAGTGAGGTCAGAGGGCCGGGCGGGCCGGGCCGAGCACTGCGGCATATTGAGCTAACACTGCAAGATTCTGTCCCTAAAATGGAGCTTCAGGATGAGAGGGTGAGGTCCAGGGTTCACGCGTGGAGTACTGCTTAGCGTGAGCTCTGATCTCGGAAACATGTCCAACCAAAATGCTCCGGCTAAATAAAAAAAAAAACAAACGTGCCAAAAAACCGAACGTGCCAGTTGTAGAAACGAATACCAGTGTACAATAACCAGCAGCATGAAGGAATGTGCGTCCTGTGACGACAGCATAAGCAAGGACGTTCAAACAACGCTCCAATAAAGGGTGACCTTGAAAAGAATGCCTCTCAGCACGGCCAGCTCGAAATGCACACACGCAGTGCATTTCTGACACATGATACCGCAAAGGTTCTTGTCCGATGTTTTCAAGCTGCATCCACATTTGGAGCTAAAAATCCACAAAAAATCCCGTCCAGCGCTTCTTCTTGTCGTTGGCAGACTTTATAGAAAGAGTAGAAGAGATGGATAAAATGTTTGGACACACAGCTGGAAAGCCGTTGCAGATGATACTAAACCTTTGGACGTTTCTAAGGTGTGCTTTAAAACACTTCTGGGGAGCTCCGCAAGATCTCCGACTGAGGTCGATCCTGGAGAGGGGCTTCAGAAGACAGCGGCAGTCAGTCCTCTCAGGAAATGTGAGTGTCCCAACGGCCTTCAAAAAGCACCCCTGCAGGGGTCAGAAGCGTGACTCCTAAAGGCATTCGCAAATACGGAACACAATTCAAAACGTTCGGGAAATCCGCCGTGCGATCGGTGCGAATATACCATGCACAGGAAGGGCTACCGGGGGCTGGGCTCTGTCCGGTCGAAAACTTACAAACGTGTATTCTGATTCGAGATCGTCGACGGTCATTGGGTTGACGTAGACTTGTTCGCCGTGTATTTCCATTTCCACTTTTTCTCTGTGACTTGGCGTTATCTGAAAGGAAGCAGGCAGAAGCTCATGAGGCTTGAGCCCATCGTCGGTCTCTCTCCCTAATTAAATGTGATGTTTCAGCGCTGAACAAGCTTCAGCAGAGCTAAGCCGCTACAAGCTAGACAAGCTGCAGAATTTTATACACACCGCCTTGAAAACACACCTTATAATGTCATCCCTTTTTGAAAAGGGGATTACTAACAACATCAATTCGGGGGTGATTACGTTAGCAAGATACCTTACCATAGCCATTGAAGACAGGAAATTTTTCATGTCGTCAACGTCGGTGGAGTTGAACTCCGATGAATGATTTCCGGCGTGGATGTACTCTTTGAAAAACTCCATAGAGTTCTGTATGTGATCTTCGGAGGCAGCATTCTGCGGAAACGTTGTTAATGTCATCAGCGGTGCGCCAGGAAGAGGTTAGGGGAGACAGAACTAAGTATATCTCGCGAGTTTTGAGACATGCAAGCAAAACCATCGTCGATGGAGCTTACCACTGAAGTGCTATGTCTCCCTGAATTTATCAGGGAAAATAATCTTGCTTGCTTTAAAGGGAAGTTCACATTTGAAGATGTTGAAGCAAGCATCAGACATTACGAAAAAAGCTTACTTACATCTTCTAGTATACTTCTACTGGAAAAGGCTGCTCTAAACAGCACAGTTTTCTGTTTAGTGCATATGTTCCCAACACGTCTTGCTCGATTACATCGTCGCAGCTTGCACAGCGCTGAAGCTTATATCACATTGCCAGCCGCTACGTCTGGAAATCATGCTCATGAACGCCAGATATGAATAACTCGACGACTATGTTTTTATTGACCTTAATCGCTGCATGGCCCATGTCAAGGCAGGATTTGTATGACGTTATTATGATGTCATGGATGTCGGAGTGACCTTCAAATTGTCTCTCCGAAATAGTCCGCTCGTCTCGACGGGCGTATAGCTCAGAAATCAGAAGGGTTTGCGTCTTAAGAAGGGCGGGACTGTGAACTACACCGAATGCTCTTCTGAATGGCTATTTTTAATTAAAATCACAAACAAATGGGGAACACTCCATCGAAACTGGACTGCGCTGTTGATCCACGAATGAGGCTTGCCAAGATATTAATACAAGCATGACGAATTCCAAAGCTCCGACAGCTCACAAGCGCTCGGGTTTGAAGAGCCTGTACAACGGAACAGGTGAGCACTTACTTTCAAATGTTTTCTGGCCACTCCAGCTGTTGCATGTGCACAGACATGCAATGCACATCATTAAATGCTGCACATCATTATAGCTATCCGATAACTGATTCAAGCACTCGTAACTGGCCGCCAAAACTCAATGAACTGTGACGTCGCCGCTAACCATGGTGGTTTTGATGGGCGACAGATGTTAGATGGCTGATAGATGCCTCAACTTACGAAATTTTTAGCACATAAATGGTGCAGATAGCTGCAAATAACAGTACAACTTTCTCCCAAGTTAGAAGTTACTGGGCCTAATTTTGCAGCGCAGCACTTTTGCAGATACGCCTGCGTTCGTATGTACCTCGCTTCGCTTATTTAAAGTGTCTTAAGTGATGAAAATAGAGCTGAATCGACGTTTGCGAAGCGTTAGACAATGTCTACAATTGTTGATAGCCTCAGCGTTCATATATCATGTAACAGAAATCACCAACGGGCTGACACTACACCATCTTAGGTTTCCCAACCCCCCACGTTTGTTAGTAAAAAAGCCATAATTGTAACGTTCGGCCAACAGCGGGCTCTCAGAAACCCACTAAGCGTTTTCCGGAGCTACGAATAAGTTACCGGAATGTCGTACTCGTCTAATGTGTTATAAACACACAAAGTTTCGGCTAGCTAACTCTCCGGCCGTCATCAGGCATTATGACGTCCTGAAACAAACTGGCTTTCTCAGACCTTGCCAGTGCTCAGTATCACCTGACAGCGGCCAAAGAGTTAACTGGTCGAAACATTATGTGCATTCTAACACACCAGACGAGAACTACAAGCGGAATCATGATTTCATCCGTGATAATATTACAACAACTGTATCCGACGCTGCAAAACCGACGGCTGACGAGCAAACCACGGCATTGGGAAAGCGATGCCCCAGCAAACCAGAACACTTACCATGCGAGGCCTTCCACACCCAGGGGCTTCGCCCGGGGCCTACCAAGGCCTTGCGAGGCCTTGCGGCCTTTTCCTCGGCGGACGCGTGCTGACCCTTGATGGTGGCTCAACGCGTGCCGACAGTGACGGCACAGTCCGGGTGGCACGCGCTATGGTCTCAATGCTCGACAAAGTACGTGTTCTTTCAATGGTTTCCCGGAATGCGGCCGATGTCCGATTTACCCACTTTGGGTCACCATCAAAAGAGCCACTTTATCGGCAATGAACATTGCCGATATATTTATCGGCAATATCATTGCCGATATCGGCAATGAACATTGCCGATATTTATCGGCAATGAACAAGCGGCATTTAATCATGGAGCGGGTTCAACTCGTTTTGCAGTAAAGCACAAATGTTCATTGATGCACCTTGAGATAGACTAATCATGAATGGAAAAGTTGTACTGGCTATCGTTCACGTCTGTTGTGTCAGTACAAACCGACATTTCGGCCAGTTAACTCTCTGACCGTCGTCAGGTGTTCTGGAATCCTGAGAAGAACTGGATGATGTTTGACGTTAAGCCGCATGCGCGTCACAACTTGGAAATTGCTGGGATTCCAACAAATATAATCTGATTGCTAATACAGTACTCTACCAACTGAGCTAACCAGGAAGAACAATTTATGGCGTTAAAGCTTGGTATCATTTATCTCCTGAATTCTTGGCAATTTTCCCACAAAATTGTGACCCGTAATGGGCTGGTGTCTACGCTCGGCTTACTAATGGAGTTCTCAGCCAATGCCATGTGTGCCGCCATGGCGTTCATGGTGTCCACAGTTCATGTCCACAGAATGGGTTGGCCTTTGTCCGCCAGAGTGCGAAGTTTCGTCCTCATGGAGGAGGCGCGTCGGTAAGCTCCGACACGTCATTTCCTCCGACCTGGTATACAGTCCAGCGCCACTGTTGCAAAGTGAATCTCCCGCGGTCTCCCTAAGTCCTGCTCTGAATAAACCCGACCGGCCAGAAGCCGACTCTGATTAAGACGCTTGAAGCAAAACAGACGGAAGCTAAACAGGAGTCTTCATTGACGAAACAGGATCGCCGGCCCAATATTTGGTGCAGATATCCCAGTTTGAATTCACCAGCCCTGTTGAGCTGGGGCGGAGAGCCGCCGCCGCTCCATTAAAGGGTTCCTGTTTTGCGTATGGCAGATGAAAACCAGCGCCACAGGAATAAGCTCGACCTTGCATGAAACCGACGGCCGTGCCAGCGGCTGTGCTGGGCACTGACGTGACAGGCGGTACAGGGCGGAACTGGCGTGCAAAAAAGCATGGTGGTGTGGAGTGGGGCCGCACATGCTTCGGCACGTCACCGCTCAGCCGTCAGCGATAGGTTTCAACATTGTAAGCCGAGCCATGCGCACGTTGCAGCTGAGGAAGGTATAGCTACGGGAAAAGAGATGCCCAGCCTGGTTGGTGCAGCACGTGGTTATAATGTCATGAAAGCACATGAGCGTGATGAATCGATCACAGGAAAAATGTGCAACGTTATTCTGAATATGCGTGCCCCCAAGTTCAGATTGAGGGAGCATGCGCGCTCCCAAGTTCATTTCAAGGGTCATTCTGTCCTAGCGTGGGGTACGAATCGACCGCCATTCTGGCGACACGTGGCGAGGTCTTCTGGTTGATCCGAAGCCCTTGGATGGGTGCATCATACACTGCTCCCCTGTCTGATGCGGGAGGCTCTCTGACCCGGCGGTTGACTCCAGATCGACGCAGGAGTCCCCATTGACGAAGCAGGATCACCGGCCCAATATTTGGTGCAGATATCCTAGTTTGGATTAACCCGGGCCTGTTGAGCTGGGGCGGGGAGCCGCCCGTTCCGTTAAAGGGTTCTCACTGTCACCGCTTCCCCTGACACTTCAATTGTCTGTTATGGACCGCCATCATAAACTATTGTATTTCCTTTCACTGACTGGCAGCTCCGACAAACCCAAGAGGTCCCCTGGCATTTGGAGTCTACTTCCTGTTCATGGTGTTAAGTAAGCACATTCGATTTTCTGTGCCTACCAGAAAACATATTAAACTCGTTCCAGTGCGAAAATTTTCAATCGCTTCTTGCCCCGTGCATGCTGCATACATATGATGGAATTGTTAAAAAAGCTTGTGTTTACATGCCCTCTTACACCTTGCAGTTAGATCGCCCCTCCCTTGTTTTCAATTGTTTCGTTCATGAGTTGGTCTGGCTGTGGCGGTCGGTGGCCCAATAGAGGGAATCACCACCAAAAGGCCCAACGAATACCAAGAGGGTCAAGAATGGACAAGATCGATGGTCAATAATGGACAAGTTTCTCATGCCCCAATTCCATGTCTTCATTTACAATAAGCGCATCTTGCTATCCACTAGCACATTTATTATGCCTACAGATCTGCACCTGCCACACCTCCTCAGATGCGGCCAACCGCAGGTCTACAAACCCGGAAAGAGAGCAGACTTGTAGGCTAGCGTAGACACGTCTTTGAACCGGGAGCTGCCACAGTTTGTGCGAGTATTTGTCGGCGCGTTCAAATGTTTAGGCGAAATCAAGGCCCTAGAACAGAAGGTATGATCGTCTGGCCAAATTCCGCCGTTTCGACTGATGACGTCACAAGTGTAATCGGCACGTAATGGTCAACAGCGGATACATGCCCACCGCATTTTCCTTGGCTTTTTGAAACGGTTCTTATACTGGAAACCGTTAAACATCTTTGGCTGGGTCATAACAAGACTATTTCTTTTACACACAAGCCATGATATCAGCTGCAAGGTTTATTAATCATTAATTAGCTGGCGTCCCAACCGAGCGCCTCGGGCTGTAAAGCCGGCAGAAAAAACTCTCACAAAGCTTTTTCGGGAATATATATGCAAACGGAAAAAGCAAATGGGGGCATCTTAAAGAAGTAACAATTATAAATCATACTGACATGAAAGGTCAAGGTCAGGGCAAAGACCTGCAGACCCCTGTTACATGTTTGCAGGGGCTGGGTCAATTAAGGCCTTTTATGACTTCAAAAAGTATATGCTCTTTGGCTAATTGAGGATGCTGTGTTAAGAACTTGTAGATGCCACAATGAGGTCAGGTCAAGGTCATTCCATAGGTTACCGTCATGATCTGGTGTATTCATGCGACCAATGATTCCAAATATTTTCACATTCATGTTGCTCGCGCTGTGCAGTTAAAACGTCAGGTACAATTTTGTTCCGGTCAGTGCATAGTCAGATGTAGGTAGGATGCCAAAATGGGTCACACGGCAACATGGCACGCAGTAAGCTAGTCATATCATACATGCCAACGGATTGCTCATTCCACAGGAATCCAATACAATCACTTTTAATCTTGCATCAGGTCATCTCAGTGCCTGAAGAGATCAAAACCTGTTGTTTGTCACAACCTACTCTGACCCTTGAAATACATTCAACAGACATGGGCAAGTTAGGGAAATTGATTTTGAACCTGCTGCGTAAATAGCTACCACTTGCCCATGTCCTGTTTGAAACGCAGATTTCATCATTTTCAAAGTGGTAGAAGTTTTAATTTGCCGGGAATAGAGGACAGCACACTTTCGTGACGACAAGACAATGCCCAGTGCGCAGATCACCTTTATTTATGCATGCAAAACACTCTCTAGCATTATTTCCTCAATACCAAGAGCAGCCACACAATGTCCGTTTTCTAAGTATCAACAACAATGGGGCGTAAGTAAAATATCTGGTCACAGCATCCCTTTTCTATACAGCATGTAGTTGTTACTATTGGTGGCTTGTGGCACAGATGCTTGTCCCATGTCTATGCGTAGCAACACAGTCGTCTGACATTTTTCCTCACTGTAAGGAATGAAGATGCCCCTTTTTATACCTCCCTCTTAGACACCTGTCTGAAAATTTTATTGCAGGTCCCTGGCATATCTAAGCAAAAAAGTTTAGTGTTATAGTTATCATCAGCTTTCAAGGGCAGAAGTACCAATCATGGTGCCGTTGACATAATTGGACTCATACAGCAAGTTGTTAAGCCTGGACTTTGAAGCATGTGATAAGACAGCTGCAAAAAATTCGTATCTGATCACCTTCATGGAAATGATTTCTCCTTCATCACAAAATGTTGCTTATGTGCACTACCATACCTAAGGAAGATGATGACATGATACAAAATTCATGTGACTTGAGATTTAGTCACCAACAACCATAATATGTAATCAGATGGGATTGCAACCCAACCCCACCCATAAGCTGGCTGTTATTAATATCATGCTAATATTTCATGCCGCAAAATGCTTTCAAACAAAACTCAAAAATAGAGGGTAGTTATCTGAGCAGTGCCAGGATTAATTGTAGAGATGCATAAGCTTTACAATATAATAGCAATATGGTATATTTTGTACCACCAGGTTCGTACATGTCTTTGCAAATGCAGCTGTAGAAACAACACACACGGACGCACAAGCAAAGTGCGAGACAGCAGCCAAAGCCCTCACAACTCGCTGTAACTAACGGCCACCTTACACTAGAATCATAAACAGAGAAAAACCTGGGCCTTGAACATTACCAACAGGCTCACATATGTCTACCGTACACACAAACAGCATCGTACACAACACACTTCCACAGGTTTCGTGCATAATACATACAATATTTAAACACATGATAATGAAATCTAACAAGCACCGCCCCATCACCCCGCCAAACACCAGTAAGTTGAGCTGGGCAAAATCAAACGACACGCAGCGACACGGGTCAAGGTTGGCGAAATTATTTTGTCTCTTCCGCGTCACACATTTGGCACTTAGGAAAAATTAGCCTATGGTGATACACGATAGTTTTACGCTGCACGCGCTGTACTTCCTACATGAACTAACAATGCTGCGGAGTTATGGCGTCAAGTGCTGGCATAGCTCTCGCCAAACAGGAGATACATCAGTTGCACCGTTCGTAACTTGGTGTGGACACCCCTCATCGCTACATCCAAAATTAATTATTTATGCGGCCGAACGAATTCGAGAAAAAAGTGTAAGAAACCGGGCACTCATCCGCCCAAGCTAAATGACTGGAACGTGCCATAAAATAAGCTTTCTGGAATACCCAATTGCATTTTGCGACGCAGTGGGCATACCATCTCGCTATGTAACAGATTCAGCGCCACGAACGGTCCGGAGCTGACAAAAACTACCACCGTGGCAGACAATAGCATGCTCCTTGTCCCTTGATGCTCCTTGTTGACCCTGCGCTGGTTTCGCCCCTCTCCTCCTCCAGCCAACCCCGCGGGACGAACAGCGTCCTGTCCGCTACCGCACGCCACTGACACTCGAGAACCTTCCCGTCGCCCGAGCAGAAAGTAAGTCTCTTGCAACGCCAGACTGCTCCCGCGACCAGCACATCAAGCAGGGAAAGCGGCGCGAACGCGAGGGAAAGCGGCGCGAACGATCAGCTGATCGGACGGCACAGCTGAGTGTGAAAACCGAGTGTGTGTGATTGTGGAAACCGAGTGAGTGAGGAGGTGATGGCGTTCGACTGCATACGATTTTGATGTATAAGATTATATACGACTTTGTGCACGAAATTTAATGCTTACAAAATGTATACGATTCAGCAGGAAATGGCATCACGGTCTCACGCGCAACCCTTTCAACCTCAACGGCAAGGCACCGCACGCTAGCAGACGTGGGTAAAACTATTGTGGGGACATTATGAACTGTGGTTATAATTAACTGTGGGCACGATTCGGACCCGTGCTGCCTCCTAGAGCTTTCCAACTTTCCAGTGCTCTCTGTCTATGATGGCAGAGAGCACTGGAAAGTTAGCTCTGTCTGATCTCATGCTGGTCGGTGATCACTGTCTGACCATGTATGCTCTGCCTCAGCAGACTTTAGAGTCTCACCACGGACGTTTGCCTTTCCATACTCTTCCAGTCCGACCGACAGAAAGCGGCTGGTCGCTTCTTGAAAGGACTTTCCACGGGTGCAGAGTATGTCGTATGTGCAGTTTTTACAACTATATCGACGAAGATGACACAAATAAAAAATAATAACAACATACCCTTGTTAAAAACAACTAAGACATTTGAAACGGCGGCGATAGAACAACTCATAACAGCTAAGAACAACTTTTTCAAAAAGGAAATAGCCACCTAGCCGAGACGTTGCGCAGGAACCGGTATATAAAAGACGTCATCGCACAGAAGCCCAAAGAGTGTGCTGGATGAGCAGGGCAGTCAAGGGGAGAACGCACAGCAACGATAGCATTATCACACAAGGGCTCCATGGAGAAGATTAGAATAAAATGTCGACTATAGAGCATCAGGAAAGTCTTGATAAGCATCTCAACGTTCCAAAGAGCACTTAACAAAGTCGGGCCTCCAACACCTAAGGAACACACGAAGAACTCATATTCGATATGCCGTCAGACTGGAAGAGCACAGAAAGACAGCACACGGGGGTGAGACTCTCAAGTCTGGTGTGGCAGAGGATGCGTCATCAGACAGCGATCACCCACCAGCGCGGGGTGAGATAACTATTATCGACGGAGAGCAACACTGGAAAATTGGAAACATCAACTTGGTAGCTCAGACGGCACTAGCTAACAACCGCGATCAACAAGCCAAGTGTAAACATCACCCCAATACGGCTCAAAGTTCTGCTGAAAAATACCCGAATAAATTAATGACAACAACGTTCAACGCCTAGTGGCCTTACTTCCCAGTAAGCTCAGTTGGTCGAGCGCTGGAATCCCAATCAAAGGATCCCCGGATCGAATCCCGGCAACTCCGAGTAGCAAATTCGGGTTATAGCGTCTATATGGCCGAAAGCCAAATGTCGTCCCGTCTTTCTGAGGACTTCATAACATCTGACAACGGCTGGCGATTTAAGTGACCGAAACTAACACACAATACGACAAAGATACTGGAACAACTATCCAATTCGTGATATCAATGTGTCATCTCAATCCATACCTTATAATATGGCTAGGCTTATCACTGCAATAGGGCTCGTATGGGTCGGGATATTATGGTGGTCGTTATGCAAGGGTCTGCTGTGAAATAATGCATATACTTTGAAGGGTTAAGCGGATTCAGCATAAAACATCAATACGTTTCCTGAAATCATGTAAAATGAATTGGAGAAAGCTGTCATACGATGCAAGATATTATCATCTATTGCCCTATTATTTTGTTCAAGAAAGGGCCGTAAGCTCGCTAGGTAAATTTGTAAGTTCGTAAATTCGCCATCAACTGAACCAGTCGTCCATAGACAAACCAGAGCCAAACACAGCGCGCTGGGTTTGCCAACAGTGATAACTGGCCTGGTCAAACACTCCCTGCAGTATCCAGTTGCGGCTGTCTGGAATGGTCTTCCTGAAGAAGAGGCGAGCACGACGTCAGGTGTGAAAGACAGTGTTTATCCAGCTATCACACCGTTTCAACCGTGAGCACCTCGTTCTCGTCGATATACTTTTTTATTGCTGCTTGTTAATGCATTATTATTACAACTTCTTTCTTTTAACGTATGGGCTTTGCCATATGACCTTCCTGTTAGTTTTACATACGACGCTGACGACTAATAGATAACCCTCGCCCTGACTTAAAATGTGCATTCTTTTTGGGGCAGCATGCAACACGGGCAGCACAGCATGTTGTGTGAAATGGTCCGTTGGGAGCGTGCCTCCATTGCCAGATATTAGTAAATGTTGATCAACGAGCATTTAGCGTTCATCTTTGCTACAATTGTCTGGGACGTGACGTGAAGGGATTTGGCGTGCCGGCTCGCCTCCCAGGGGTGTTGTCTTTCGATGACGTGGAATAACACCACCCCAGAGTGCCAAAGATCACTTTTCTCTTTGAAGCACATGCTAGTTTTATGATGCTTGGAACTAGATTTTATTTGGACTAAGGCAGACATAGCTAACGGGTGTTGTATTTGCGTAGTCTAACGGGTCAGGAATGTAATCCAAGTGATATTTGGTGTTTCATAGCAGACCAGTTCTGGTCGCAGATGCGTTTCTGTGTTTATCAGCGCGTAAAATTTTCCTCCAAGAAAAATGTCCATCCTGCACAAGTGCTGCTAACACTGCTGAACTCACCGGTGCCTAGTGAGCAGCTGACGCCGCATTTGCAGAACCCAACTGAGGCACCTCAGTTCTCAGCCGGCGGCGCCCGGTTAGCACTATGTGCTGCTGCTGTCACCATCAAAGATATAAAGATGTCCTGTGCTGCTGGTCGATTACGCAGCATCACACCTAAGTAAAGAGCTGTCGCTCGAGCGAGCTCACTGTCAACAGTGGCATGGAGGCCTTTCGAAATGCGGAAGAGTCACGGACAGGTATCACAGTTTTTAGCCGGAGTGATTGTGTTCTAAGGTTGGTTGCTGAAGCGATATGATATCATACACCTATTAAATTATACACGGCTCCCGCGGTGGTCCTAATCCCAGAAAGCTGTGTCCGAGCCAGTGCGCTTCCTTCGAATGTCCAAGCAATTTCACGCGCACGTAGTCAGCAGGAAAACCACTTCACTATCTTGCCAAGTCTGCAGGAAAACCACCTCACCATCTCCCCAAATCAGCAGGAAATGCACCTCGCCATCTTCCCGAATCCAGAATTGGTTTCCCGTTGTAGCTATGAGCCATTGGCCTGGTGGCTCACCGGAACAAACATCGTTACCAGCACCATGAGCCCGACATTTAACGGAAATGTTGATGCGTATTTGGCTCACCAGTCACGAAGTCAGTTAATTTTTGTTGGAAACTGTGATAGCGTGTTTGTTCGCGTGTTCAGCTGACATCGAATCGGCTCTCAGCAACTTTAATATTTCACCTTTTCCACCATATTCCTCACATCTGCACCAACTACAAATGTAATGCGACCAGACAATTTGCATTCCACATCAGCGCGAACGTTGTAAAATACCAGATAAGGACGTGCGTGTCCACTGTCAGTGGACTTCTAAATTGTATGCGAATATGTGCGATAATATGCGATAATATGCCAAACCTGCAAGGATCCGAGGGTCAAACAAACCGAGGATCGGTTGCCCACAAACTAAGTTCTCTAGCTGAGCTCACGCGCAGGACTGTCCGGCCATCTTAAAGAGTATTCGGTGCAGCTCACAGCTCTGCCCTCCTGAAGACGTAAACCCGTCAGTTTTCCGAGCTGCAGGCCCCCTTAAATGGCCAGGCTATTTCAAGGAGACAGTTTCAAGGTCACCCAGGTATACCTGACGTCATAATAATGTCTTCTAAATATCGTCATTCCATGGGCCATGCGCCGATCGCCGTCGAGAAAAATATAATTGTCGAGTCGTTCAAACCTGTTCATATCTGTTCATGTCATTCGTATATGTTCGTAAGCACAATTCCTACAATTTTTATTTCTACAATATAACGACCGTGAAAGGACTCTCGGTCAAAGTTGTTCAAGGTAAGATGACGTAATGAAACCATGGAACATTGAAGAGATTATTTACCAAACAGAGAAATTGTGTCGTCTCGAGCAGCCTTCTGTATTAAACGTTTACCAATAAGTAAGCTTGTTTCATCATATTTGATGTTTGGCTCAATACCTTCAAATGTGAAGCATTCACTGTAAGCTTGCAGACATTATCTAAGTTTATACCTAAAGGGTATGTTCCATATCTCATGATAGAGAGGCAAGCATCATATATAATGAGGGCAGCTTACTTGTTATCAATGTCATGCTTTTAAGTGCAAAATATTTCTCTAGCTAATACCATGCCACCATTCCAGCAAATCGTTCCATTTCGTCACGGAACGCTTTTATGACGTGAGAGCCGCTGCCATACTGGACTCATCAGAATCACTGCTGGGGCGGACAGGCTGGCTATTTTGTGTTACTTTAATTCGCCGCAAGGTGACTTGTTAATTCAAGTGTGCGGAAAAACCGACAATTTCTATGGGCGCTTTTTTGGTCCTTTCTCATGGTGTTCTTTTAAAGTTGTCCGCGATAACATGTTTTTACTTGCAGATGCGCTTTCAAAAATAAACTAACTGCCGTTTTTGCGCAGACCAGAATTATCCGACGGCACCGCGTGTTGTAGCGCTGTGTTCCTCATGTGCTCTTTCCACTGAGCCCACCGGTGTCTTTGAGTTGAATCAAAGCTAAGCCATGTCGCGGGATGGTAAACGGTCCATGTAGAAGCAGAACGGCGGAAAACTTGACAAAACTGCATTGGCG